GATTATTCTCAAAATTGGCCTTCCACTACCGGATTTCTTTTCGGAAATTCGACAGCTCAAACAGGCGTAGATTTCCCTTAAAAGTAAATTTAAAATACACTGTTCTTAGCCGAGTGTTGTCTGGTTTACTTTTTTGACTACGAATTTCTATATAAACCCGTGTAATGCATTTGGCCGCGTGCCGATTAACCGGAACTCGGAAGTCTGGAACCAACAAATCTGTACCACTTTTGTGCAAAGGTAAACAGACTTTTCCTGGTGAATTTCTAGTCTTGGTCGATTATGACGAGACTATTTTTTTTTATAACTAATAATATTAGATTATATTATTTGAAAATAATAATTGTTGTTTGATTGAAAAAGGGGACTACCCTGTACATTATACAGACGTCTGACTGTTTGAGCAACCTATATAATAATGAATAAGAATAATAATTAATAATAGACAATAGTTCAAAAGTCACCTCTCTCTGAAATTAATATTTACTATAATGACTAATGAGTACCTGTAGCGTTATAATCTTCAATCGAACCATGCAATGTGCGCCTCTATACCTACCTAATACAGTAATACCTACAAGAAATCCTTTGAAAATAAACCTTTCTGATTGGTTTTCACTGACGCGTTTTCCACGAGACTGCAGTGGAATTCCGAAACGATAAACGATGGTAGGGTGGGCCGTGGGCACTATAATATTATACGCAACTCGGCACTGCCGTCCATAAATAGATGACCCAACAGTTAATGTATTTTATTTTATTAAAACGTATAAATACTTTCATTGTTTTTTTTTTTACTACAGTTGCCATAATTATTCATTCAGTACTTAATCGCCGCAGCATTCAGTTATTTGTGACACAATCTTTAAAACCACTAAGTAACCCGTTCGATTCATACGATTCAATATTAATTCTATCTTTGAAAAAAAGTGTTTAGATTCAGAGCAGATTAGCAAATATTGATTTTAAAATAATAGTGAATAATGTGTCTTTTTTTTGAGTACCTATATTATAGAGTTAATTCGATTTTTAACTTCGATAACTTTTCTGGTTAGAAAAATTAATCTGGGGGGTAGACGTATAACCTTTTTAAGATGTAAAAGTTAAAAATTAATTGTAATTTGTACTAATAATATACATAAGGAAAAATAAAAAAATAGAGAAAAAACGGTCATTTCTACGCAACTTGTTAGTTGTTATCGACTACATTGATTTTTTTTTTGTTATTAAAATAAAAAAACTACTTGACAATTTCGTTGTTGTTTAGATTAGCATATTTTATGCATAGTATAATTTAATACGCATTTATTGAAAATATTTTTTAATTTTTTAAATGTTTATTTCTTTTCTTCAATAATGCAAATATTCAAAAACTGATTTTTGGAATTTTTAAATATACTTAAGGACCATATTATCTTCAAATTCTTAAGATTTTTTTGTACTACTTAAGGGGATATAAACTTCTGCTTTTTAAAAATGCTAACCTTTCTTTCTACTATAAATTATTAATTGTTCACAAATATTTTTTCTGAAAATTTTAATATATCTGCAACATAAAATTTTAACGAGTAATTTTTAGATTATTTAATTTTCTGTACTATAAGGATAATAGGTTTGAAAGATAAGGGGCTATGGCCTAAGGGGTATTTGGACGTTTCCCCCCACGGATTTTACCGATACTGGACGTTTCCCCTCTAGACCGAGACACCACCTGAATCAATAGATTTTTTTTCCTCATAATAATAGATTGGAAATTAGGTTCTTTTGAAAAAAATGTTCTACCCAATAATTTATGGTAAAAAGTGGGATTCTCTTTAAAAATCTGAAGTTTGTATCAACACAGGGCTATAAAACACTTTGGCTGTATATTATATATCATAGTATGTTGTATATATAGTGGCGGTATATGTAGTGCTAACTGCTAATGGTCCGAAAAGTCACCAAAGCCGAATTGTTTATCATGCTGAATAAATAACCTCTTTTATAATGTAATCAAATTAGTTTATTTAATTTATTTTTTTATTTTTTATTCTCTCAGCATTTTAATAAAAACTTATAGTACGTTGTGTCCGGTCGTTTTGGAATCTTAAATTATGCATTAAAATGTTATGAAAACGTTTCAGTTCCGTTAGTAAGTGCCTTACAGTTATTGTTGAAGATAACTTATAACTTATAATTAAAATAAACACATATCTGAATGTATTTTATCAGAAGACAGAAGTATAGTTTTGTTTTTTAAGTTATTTTTCCGATTAATTTATTTAGCTTAGGAAACAAATTATCAACGATACGGTTCGGTTAAGTACGTAAGTCGTACAGTTGTAAACTAAGTTTGGTACATTTTTTAATGAAAATATTTTCTAAGTTATTGTTTTTACTTTTTTATATAATTATTTTGCAGGTAATGTTTCATCTTACATTTACCATCTGGCTAAGGGCGTCCGCAGGGGGGGCAAGTATGGGCAGTTTCCCCCCTTGGCTTTTTTTGGGTCGATTATCATATTATTATTGATAATTTTAATGTCCTAAAAAAAATTGAAAATTCCATAACAATTCTATATAGGGCGATAAATTATTTTTATTTTTAATATAAAAAATATAAATTTGCTATAAATTATAATATAGGTACATTTTAATCTTTTAAGGGATTATAAAAAAGTTGTACAGACAGAATTTATCATTTTGGAATTCTTTAATCTGAATTGAAAATTTATGCAAGTATACAATTGAAAATTGTTAATTTTTTGTATTACAAAATTAAAAATTAAAATTACACTGTACTTGTAGCGCAAGAGTCTGTAAATTATATATATGAAAAAAATATTGAATACTGATTACAACAAAAATGATTTCATTTGTCATGTTATTCTATTATACCTGCACCTTGCATATACCATATATTAATTGCTCTAAAAGTTGAATACCAGCTACTGAGCTACCTATACGTCATGAATTTATACACACCAGCGAGCGATATCTACGTAATGTACACACCGCCGAATACCTGCTACCACTTACCAGAGGCGTGCTCAGGAATTTTGGAATGGGGGGGTGGCCGGGTGGGTGATGGTTGTACATTTTTTTCGAACAAAATGTTTGCTAAATTGAGCGTTATGAATATAGTTTAGAGCCCACGTGTATTTAAAATATTTTTTTCGAACACCTACGTATTATTACAACCAGTTAAGAACGATGGTCCAGAAATTAATTGCCGGAAATAATTAATTAGCAGTATTCGCTATAAAGTGAATTCGATATTTCGATCGTGCGATTTAAGATCTGAAAATGCATTGTAAAACGAAAATTTGTTTGACATTTCGGCGTAAAATCAATTAATTATAACTGAGTTATAACCTATAAAGCTATATTACTGTGCATGGCATTGAAAAAAAAGCACTTTTACCTTCTGATTATAGACACCTTTATTTACGCAATGTGAAATGTGAATAGTGAATACCTTACGGCTATACGTCCTATAGGTATCAATGTATGGACTTTGGCAACTACTCCGTGTAAAGGTTAAGCTAACAAGGTGTGTATATACTATATAATATATATATATAATTTTATATTATGTATATGTTACACATCTATACTCAATGGCCAAATTATTCTTCTGCAGTTGACTGTCGAACTTGACCTATTTATATATATATATATATAACAATAATGTTGTCTAGTCTAGTATTGTTTTTAAGCTATAATGTATCATAAAACCGTTAATATATAATTTTTAATTTTTAATACTCAAATATTAATTAATAAACCATTAATATTTTTGAACCACAAAAGTAGATTGCTATCTATATTATAATTTCTAACGCTTCTAAGTTTCTTAGCTAATTTATCGCTACATATTTGTATTTTTTAATTTTAACTATTATAAATAATAAATCTAATTGCATACCTACCTATTTATAATAAGCAAAATTAATAAAAATATTGAACTTTCAAGGCACATCTTCATGGCTTAACATTTCCGTTCATATATAAGAATGCCTGAATGCACTGAAATTATTAATATTATGCGTACCCGGTAAGAATCTAGTGTAATGTGTGATTTAGTAATTCGATACTTTACAACCTAGAATAACCTTTGAATATAATATATATAACTCAGTTGTGCACCACAACCATGCTCAAATGGGGAGTGGATAGGGTGAAAGATCCCCTTGCCCTTTTTTTCAATGTTTAAGACCAGATAACCATAGAATATATTTTTAACAAAGAGTGCTTGTTAAAAATTAGCCATATCCCCTCCCCCCTTGACAAAATCATTTGACCGCATTATAAAGTATAAACTATTATGCGAGCTATAATTATAATTTAATATAATGCGTGCTAACGTGCAGACACGGATTGCAATGTAGATATATATACTCGTTATGTTATTTTGATGATTTTTAGAGTTTAAAATGAGAACTGAAATCTTGGATTTGTAAAGGCAAGTTTAATTTCTTAACATATGTGGGGCACCGCTGTATCACAAAAATTCAAAAAAAAAACTGATTTGGAATAAGGAATTAAAAAATGCATGTTGTCATTAAAAAAAGTAAAACATACAAAATGTATTAAAATATACAATTATTATACAAAATAGCAATAATTATATTTTTTTTTTAGAAAAATGTTGTTTTTATAAAGACTTAAAATTATGAAAAATAAATATTTTTAAATTATAAGTTAAAGACTTAAAATTATGAAAATAAATATTTTAAATTATAAGTGATTTACATTATCTAAATGGATCATCCGATACATAGGCAGGCATATATTTAGAGGTTTGAGAATACAATTATACCTAAAAGTTTAATTTTATAAGTATACCAAGTTTTAACGATTCGAAGAAAAGATTATAGAAATAGTATTTTTTTTTATCCAGTATAATTTTTTTTTTTAATAATAATAATTATAGGCTATATGTATATCTTTTTCAAATTTTCAATAATCGAGTGTTTTAACTTTTTAACTATGTATAATTGTTTAATGAATAACACATTTTATTCAGTTGCTAAACCTTTAATTATGTTATAATAAATATTAATTCCGTCCAAAAATGTATTTTCATTCAAATATTCATCGTGATCGTGTAAAAGCACAGGAGTGTACATCATTGGAGAGAATCCAAGTGCGGGAATACCAATCTGTAATCAAAAGCAGTCAACAGTTAATCAATCTATACCAATAATATTATAAGGAGGTAAAGTTAGTAAGTTTGTTTGTAGAAAGTAATCTCTGGAACTATACTGGACTGATTTTGAAAATTCCTTCATCAGTAGAAAGCTACATGCCTGCATTATTCCTGAGTGACAATGGCTATATTTGATTGTGTTTAGGTAATTTTTTAATAAGAAATAACAATATTTGTCAATCAATTCCGAGAAAACGGCTTGATGCGTTGTTTTATATATTTGTATTGTTGTATTGATAATAGATAATAATTTATATTATATTATGTTACGTTGAATTTAATAATGGAATTCAAGGAATTTATGAGATTCGAGATGATTGATGAACATTTTTAAGTTTTGAACACCATACAACGAATATTAAATAACGAATAGAACTAAGTTTGAAACATAATTCATTAGAGTTGGCACTTTTAACGGGCAACGAAGTGAACAGGATCATCTAGTACCTACATAATATTTAAATATTATAATATATTAATATTTTATATAATACCTATATGCAATATGCACTAATGTAATAATGTATAATAAATAAATAAATGTGTATAAATATGTATACATATTATAATACCTACAATGGCTACATATATAGTTTATCCATAATTCTAAAAAAAATTGGAACCACTGGTAGGTATATATTATTGGATTATATGTGTCTTGTGTAGTATTGTGTACCACGGTTATCTTATCTATAGGTGTGTACCTACTGTCCTACTGATTATATATATTTAATATACTATTATTAAGTATGCAGTTAAATGTATATAGTTACTAGTCTGATGTATCTGCTATCACCGGCCCCAGGACAAATAGATGGTTTTAGTTTTAAATTCCTGCAAAATATATAATACATATTATTAAATATTTATATAAGCACTTTGTGTTAAAACAATTATTAAAAAATATAAAGACAAAAATTATATATTTCTATATTATATAGTATGCATATTAATAGTTCTTATTAGGTCCATACTTTTTTTAAAGGTCACCTCTGAGAGGTGGATTACGGTGATGACTTGGTGTGAAAAATAATATTATTTGTATAATTTATTTTACTAACATCTGCAGCTTGAAATTAAACTTGCAGCTAACCCAACATAATATGGGAATATGTCCCAACCATACCTAACATTCTGGCATTCTGCAGATAATCCACGTATGGCTCTATATTTTTTTTATAACTTTAAGTTACTAAATGTCTTAACTCATCAAAATAATAAATATATAATATATTATATAATTGATTTATATACATTAATTGTTATAACTTCAAATATCATGTATGATAAGGATAACTATTATAACCATGTATCCGTATATGTGTATTCTTCTCCTGCGTTACATACAGTGGCGTATCCGGGGGGGGGTAGGGGGTTGTAACCCCCCACGAAAATTGTTAAATTATAATAACGTTATCATTAATAAATCATTTTAAGATAAAATTCCACAAAAATAAATTATAACCCCTCCCGAAAAAAAATTCTGGTTAGGTTACATATAAATCTATATATTATCTATGACATATAATCTATCTATTTAATCCTAATATAGTTATAGTGTTCTTTATGTATTTATTTTTTATTGAACTTGAGTTTGGCAGCTTAGGCCATTAGCTATTTTATTTTTTTGTTTTGTTTGTAGGTTTTTGTTGGTAGGAGGTACACATGAGTGTTTGTTTTTGGCAGAATTTTTGATTTGGGCAACCGTAGGTATCTGCCATGCCCGGGGAGGGGATGGCGGCTCTTGTTCTCCGGACACCGTGACTTGCCCAAAGAAAAATGCCACCCATGACCGAGGTATCGAACCGGCGTCGGTGTCCGTCGCAATTGACACTCGGCCACTCCGTGTTCTGTTGTTATATGAATAGCGGAAAACCCAAGGGTGTCGAAAATAATATATATCTAGCGGTACCCACCCACCCCACCAGACAAATCTGAGTTTAGGCATTGTATAACTCTTATTTTTAAGTGTTTTTGGTTTTTTCTTACAAACAACGACACTAAATAGATAATTAAAATAATAAACATGATATTAAATGTTTTTCAATTTTTTTTGGGCATTAATTTATTAAACTTAACTTTTTGGATTGAGCCCTACTACTTATTCTCATGAGACTCTTTAGTTCTGAGGTAAACATAGTTAGTATGTTGATTTCGATTGAATATATTGAATATACTTTTGCAGTGCTAAAATGCAACTTACATGAAGCCTCACAACTAGTCATGACTCATGAACATACTACATACCTACAACATACGTATGTTAAATGTTTAATTATCTGTGCATGAAGTACAAAACACAAAATACAAAATACTCCACCGTTGACGGTTGAACCACAGATAGGCCTCACTACAGTCATTATTTAAGGGGAAACATTTAGGCAATTTCTAATCTTGTCATAGCCGCCCGGGATCTTATACATATTATAATGATAAATTGTTTTTGTTTTTTTTCATATCGGTTCAAATATCGGTTTTAAAAAAAACCGATACTGATAAAACCGATATTGCCAATATCGGCCGATAATCGATATCGGTTTGCATATCGGCCTAGCCCTAGTTTTAAATGATTATTAGTGTGAGTGAAATTAAATGTGGGTATCCTCTTCTCGTACGCGCATGCACATGTCAGTAACTCGATAACTATATCAATTTCACTTAACGAGTTTTACAAAAACATACATTTGTTTTGACAAAATTAATGTTGGCATAGAACAATGTTAGTTAACGTTCCTGATTTTGATTCTAAATATAAAAATATTTGAATTCAGCAGAAAAATGTCTGTAGATCGTACGAAATATTTTCCGTTTTTAATATTAATTTTAATTTTAATTATGATTTGAAAAAGTTAATATTTTCAAGTTTTCAATTACAGTTCACAATAATATAAAATTTAGTTTTTACAAAGTGTTTAGTAGGATCTATAGACAATTTTCTGGTGAGCTCAAATTTTTTTTCAGAATCAAAATCAGACAACGTTAACTAACTTTAATTTTGTCAATACTAAATTTTAGGTCTTTTCAGCTAAAATTGACAGCAGTAACGAGGCCCCTTAAATGAAAATTTTCATTTAATCTGTGGACTGTGATTGAACATTGATAACGTCATAACGACGAATCGCTAAACTGATACTATTAGTATTAAACAAATATGTATCAAATTAACATCCAAATTCGCTCATAACCATATACGTAGCGTGATTAATTTATATAAGGGGGCTATAGGCCTATTATAATTTTGGTACATAACATATTATAATCTAAAAATGTAACTTAAACAAATTACGGATTGGGGAACTCTAAACAAAATTCCAGGGGTGCTATAGCCCCCATAGACTACCCCATTCTACGCCTATGCCCAGAACCAGTCACCCTCAACTAGGTACCAATTATGTAAGTGGTGTCAGTCGACACCCCTGACCCCCCCCCCCCAATGTGCTCCACTGGTTAAACCTCGTAATTATTTAAATATAATTGAATCGGTCATTTGGAAAAGGCCATATCTCCATAAAATGAAAATTTTCAGGAAACGTAAAAACTGTTTTTAGAGATCAAAATTAAATTTAGATGAAAATTGAATAACTGTTCAATTATTTAATTTCCTTATAAAAACCAACTATGATATAACATTGATTATTTATACCTACTGGATTATTTTATGAGGGAATTAACGTGTTTAAGATATGACCTTTTCCAATGGATTGTAAATTTTCATTGATTATGACCTTGTGACTCTGATAAATTACTTATTGTATAAATTTATCTCAGGAAATATGCATTATTACCTATTATTTAAGCACATGTATCACATAAAACTAGTTTTGAAAATGTGTGGAGAAATGTCCTTTTCGAAATGACTGATTCAATTATTTTTAATAATGAACAACGAACATATTTAAACTTTAGACTTTAAAGCATACGATTAATAAAATAAAACTTACATTTCATCGCATTCACTTTTAAATTTTAACCACCAAGGGTTTGAACCATCTAGCTTAGTCGGTGTAGTCTGTTCATTTGCTTTGAAAAGTTCCATTCGTATACCCTCGCCAGCTTCGTGGCACCACCCAGTTATGATATCCTCCATAGCACGGCGATCTGTGCCAATATCCAACCGAACATCGAAACCAGCTGACAGCTCTGGCGGTACAACGTTTAGTTGACATCCACCATCCAACATTGTCATATTCACAGAAGTAACTTCTCCGATATCCATTCCTTGGGACAATTTTAACTTTTCCTCCGTCCTCCAGCCCAATATTTTATTTACCACGAATATCAATTTTTCAGCTGCAGTATTATCATGAAGTAGTGATGCGTGACCTGGAGTGCCGGTGCTTCGAATGTAGAATTCTGTTCAATAATATAAATAAAAGATTTAAAAGTATTTACGAGTATAGGTATTTGATATTTTTAAATGTAAAATATCCATTCTGGCATGTAAATAGTCGGTAATACTGTAAAATATACTGACGCCAAATTGTTCTTTCGCCGTAATATAAAGGAATAACATCGTCTATAGTTGCCAAACCTTCATCTAATGTAAATCCAATATTCAAAGAACGGAATTCATCGGTCTTAACGAAATGGGCCATACCTAAAGTTCCTCCGATTTCTTCATCTATAATACGACAAATTATTATAATTTGATTAATTATTGTTATTTTGTATTTTTGGAAACTGGAAATACTCAAATACCAAAAATATATAGACATACCAGGCGTCCAGGCATGAAAGAAACGTGAATGGTCCTATCAAGAATTAAATTATTATTTTTGAATCTTCTTATTGTTTCTAAATATTGTATACCGACGCATTTCATATCTTGTGCTCCTCTAGCGTATATGTTTCCTTGTGCATCTTTGTAAGCCGAAAATGGATCATATGTCCATTTTTCCTAGGAATAATTATTAATTATTAATATTTATAATAATAAAAACAGCAAACTCGATACAAGTGTATATTGTATATACATATATACCTTATACCTATGCGGCTTGTACGGCTATACCAAACTTATAACTTATAACTTGTATAATACAGAATGAACCATGAAAAGTTCAACAATTTAAGATGAATAATTACGTTTAATTCTAAACTTAATATCATTATTAACTATGATAATATTATTCATCTTAATAAACATTAATAACTAAAATAAATATAGTTTTCCCTTTTCCATATTTACGAATTACGCACCAACTTATAAGCTTTATGCGTTTAGTTAAGTTGGTATATTAATTTTTTAGAGTACCTACTGGATAAACTGGTACGACGTCCATATGCGATGTGAGCAACAGAGATTGTAACTCAGGTTTTTTTCCTTGTAGTGTAATAATAACAACCGGTTTTTTTGGTGCCATATAGTGAATTTTTGATGGTAGTCCTAAACTTTCAGCTTGACACTGTAGAAATTGGACACATTCACCTGCATATTAAAGATTATCAAATTATCTGAGAAATAAGTGTACAACCTACACAGTAGAATTTAGATGTACCTAATATATTTATTTTAATATATAAATATTATTTATCCATACCAATAGAATCATGTTAAATTAACTTTATTGACAGTTTATTCTCTATACGTTATACTGGGATAGTAGTATAGATAAAATATTATATTATCAGAACAACATTTTCGATTTTATTTTTAATTTAATGGGTAGTAACCTATATCAATTTTAAATAATACATTCATAATAATTAATAGGTATACACTACCGACAACTACCCCTTGGTGTTGAATGACGTTACATTACAGGCAACTATTAATAAATAAATAAAAAAAATGCACATGTTAAACTATTACAGTCTTCGCTTCACTCAGAATCTAATATTAATTATTAAAAAATAATATAAAAATATTATTTGCATAAATAAAAAAGCGGGATGATATCGCTCTGCTGTACAGTATAGGTACACGGTCTAAAGCTTAACTAATATGAAAACGTAAATGTACCATGTGCGCATAATTAGGTTTCAGTCCATTTCAATATAATAAGTTAATAACGTACTCTTAATTATAGGTGTTATTACCAAGCCATTTTTAAATTTCTCTATTTATTTTTAGATTCTGAGTGAAGAAAAGGATCAGATCTATTAGTTTTGCAATAATATTTTTTTTTAATTTTTTTGTTGTTGGGCACTTTTTAGGGTACTAAACTTTGTTAAAAAGTTACTTTCATTCACTGTATGTACTATAGTGCAGAAATTTACAAATTGTCCCTGTGAAATGGTGCATCATTTAATAATACATAAAATATAATATATCCTGCATTCCTGCACAGTAACAGTGCAACCTCAGTTTTAAAACATTTCATAAATGTATTATATAATATCATTATAATTTATGTAGATATAATTCAACAAAATATTATTTTATATAATATTGCACGGGGCCCGAGATTCGTAACGCCACCCTGTTTATACCTATTGGCTTTTGTTATTATAGTTAATACTTATTATTAATACAGTAGACGGTAGGTTTAATTAATATTATAAAATTACAACAAAATAAGTGAAATCGTTATTCTTGGTTAATTAGAATGAAATTTTGTCCAAATTTCAACATAAATTAACAATATCCACAAAGTGGATGTCCTAGTGATTAACATATATTTTTGAGATTTTTTGGTTACAGAATAATCTACTTACGTGGTCTGTATATGTTTTGTATTATTACAAGATTTTCATACAAAATATTTTAGATTCTGAGTGGAACGATGAATGTATTGATTTTACAATGATGTGTGTTTTTTTATTTTTTTTGTGTCTGTCATCACCTTTAGGACAGTAAAAGTGCTTGGATTTTCTTCAACAGTATCTTTTCTGATAGGAAAGAGAATCAAATTGGTACTTATTTGGGGGGTCAAAAGTAAAAATTTCCCTGTAGTTTTCAAAAGCGACTTGAAAACCAACATAAAAATTAAGGAAAAACGTTTTATCAATTCTTATGCTTGATACAATTTTGAAAATATTTTGACTCATTTTGAGCTGTTTACGGACATTTTCAGTTTTCAATTTTTTTAGTGTTTTTTTTCTATAAATATCAATTAAGTTTTATTTGTTGTGCCAAAAAGTTGTGCCTAAAAATTTAATACAAGGCTCCTGATATATTGTTACAATATCAGTTGAAAATATTAAAAATACATGGGCACAATTTTTTTTTATAAGTATTTAAAGATCCAATTTTGACAAAATTTATCAAATTTAAAATTGAATAATTATTTTGTAGTTAAAAATTTATAAAATGTTCAACTTTTATATCTAAGGATTGAACATTTAAAACAAGATTCCACGTAAGTAGTGAATTCTGTTGCAAAAAAATCTAAAATAATACATAAGCACAGTATATTTATATAGTCATTTTAAGTTTAAATTTGGACGAAATTACATAATAAAAAACCTAGAATAACTATTTTAGTTATTTTGTTGTGGTTGTATAATATCATTCGTGGGTACTTGAAACCTCTAAAGTACACTAGTATATATATCTATGATGGTATCAGGGTTTGTTGTTGATGTATAACACGTTATAAGTACCTAATGGATATTGTGATATGATTAATTTGTAATTTATTATAGGTCAATTTTTTTTAATACCATAGATAAGTATATAATATGTCTTATACCTAGACTGACATACCGTGTCCATTCAGAATCGTTTTTTTATACAATGATATTATATCATTGAATTCAAATTTAATACCATCCATTATACAGTGACCCACTTGTAACCTTCTGTACAGCAGAGCACCTTTATTGAGTGTACATTTTAAGCCTTAAGCGCGAAAATGCGCTTGAATGCGAGACGCCCTGGACTCGTTTCCCCCACCACCTAACCACGGCCTGGCCGCTGACTACGTTTCTTAACTTGAGCAGAGTACCTATAGCTAATAAATATAAAAAAAAATAATACTTAACTGTAATCGACATTGGGGTGGACGGTAGGTATCTGTAAATATTTTCTAAAATTGGATATAGCTTCATCCTCTTCATTTTTCGAAGACATTTGAGATATTAGGTAGTTAAAATAATGAATTGGGTATACTATATATACACTTGTAATTAAAATATTTAAATTAGGTTGGTACTTATATAGGTAGGTACTATACAGTTGTAATTATATTTCTGTATCATGGGTTATACACGCATGGCTTAAATACACAAAGTTATTATAATAGTACCCCCCACTATATCATTTTATCACGTTAAGGAATTAAAATGGCAGCGTAAGGGGACCTATACTGGCTATACTTTGATAAATAAATATATGTATACATAAAACAATAGATAACCGACACATAATACCGCCTCACAAGATCTATGAAGTCAAGAGGGCAAAATTAAATTGATTAAAATCCATGTAATATTTAATTTATGCCATAAATTATGTATAATAACACCCATACCATGATTAATAATAATTAAAAATGACACAATAATCCAATAATCATTGACCTAATATAATAATATTTCAATGGTTATTGCAATGTTGCCATGAAGACTAAAATAAGGAGACCAAACTCGTTTGAAAAAACTTACCAAAATGAGTCTCACGATTAAACGGCCACAGGCTGCGCTAAATACTCTAGGGTTGCTATACTTTAACCAGCGTAGTAAAGGGTTTATTCATGTTTTTTGCGTTTTTTTTGAAAATATATGCATTATTTTGAACCATGACCCTCTTTAGATTTTATATGACCTACGATTGCGCATTTATTCATGCTTATCAGCATAAGTGTATATTTCATAAACATGTTATTCTTAAGAAACAAATCTGAGTGTAGGTACCTAATGATGCATATATCGGTATAAAACGATCGTGTGGTGTATCGAATAGTATCGGGCTGAAACTTGCTATAGACCACGATTATAAAGAACTTTATAAGAACTTTATAAGAACTCTTTATAATCGTGCTATAGACAAAGATATTATATCGGCATAAAATAGCTAGCTGATATAGTGCTTACGGATATTGTATAATTTAATTATTTACACAAAAATAAAAATAATATTTATGAAATATACGGGTCATGATTCAAAATAATGTATATATTTTCTAAAAAACGCAAAAAACATGAATAATTCTTATATTACACCTGTTAAAGTAGCAACCCTAGCGTACGCAGCGCAGCCTGTGGCGGCTTAATCGTGAGAGTCATTATATTTATATTGTTTTTTCATGCGGGCGGCCATACGAATTTGGTATTTTGGTCTCCTTATTCTAATTTCTAGTCTTCAATCTTTAATCTTCATGATAAATATTATATAAAGGTCAAAGGATAGGCCATTTATGATCATCACACGGGAATGAACATAAAATGAAGAGGTCTTAACACAAAGAACTTGATGTAAAAGTATATATTATGATTTTACCTCTGCTAGAATGAGATTCAATGATAAAAATAGTCTTTCTATCATCCCCATTATGACATGCTTCCCTCTATATTGTTATTACGTTATGGGATTCGATACCGTGATTTTCTGTTTTTGTCTAACACACGCATGGCATAGTATTTTAGACGTGTTTTTTGACAAGCATACTAATTGATCTAATGAAGCGATAAGAATTCTGAAAACAGAATTGACTTGGTCGTCAAGTCTACTTGAAATTGACTTTCCCACATTTTTGATATTATTCCCCAAATTCCTAAAAATGTCATATTAAAAAAGAGTAAAGTGTTGTATTTCAATTTTCGGAAATGTTAAAATCAAAAAATCAAAAATGTGGAAAGTAGACTTGACGAAAAATTCAAATCTATTTTTAGAACTCTTATCGCTTTATTAGTTCAATTGGTATGTTTGACAAAAAACAAGTCTAAATTACTATGTCGCACTTGTGTTAGACAAAAAAGAGAAAATTACGGTATCGAACCTTCTAAGGCCCTAAATATCTATAATACTATGGTCTATGGTCTTCATGATCCACTATAATTATTATAAAATATTATCTGAACTTAAATTATTTGTTTTAGTTATAACCACGATTGTAGGTATGCTGGTTTTTCAACGAAACCTATCCATTCTTTAATATCCATGCTAGTATAGTGCGCCCCTTAAATAGTGATACAATATTAGCATAATAGCATAGAACAATATTATGTTGTTGGTTGTTGGTTGATGTTAACCACGCTTGGAGCGTTAGTAGCTTAGTAGCTTTTCTCCTATCGTTGATCAGCTACAGCTGCTTAAAACCAGAATGTTCGAGCACCATTTTTCTTATATATGTGCCACAATGCCACGACATAGATAATATATGAGGTGACACCGGTCCGCTCCCGGACTCTTCACAGAGATGGGAATTTTATCGTAAAATTTTTTTCCGTAAATTTTATCAAAATTTAAGTACATTTTTTAACACTATATAATATTTTTATTTAGTAAATTTAATACGAACTCTGGAACTCAATAACATTTTTATAACTAAGGTAATCATTTAACCAATGTACCAATGTACCTCCTCCTTACTATAAGTATTATATTTATATATTATAAGAATGCATTATTGGCACATTAAAATAGAAAAAAAAACTAAAAAATTGAAAACTGATAATGTCCGTAAACAGCTCAAAAAGGGTCAAAATATTTTCAAAATGTTATGGTGTGTAGAAAATGAAAATATAAACATTCAGTAAAATTTTCATGTATCTACAGTTATTCGTTTTTGAACTACTTACAACAAAATAAGAAAATAGTTTCATGAAAATTCGAGACAATATCCAATGTTGAAAAAATTTTAACTTCAAACGCTCATAAATAGGTATTTAATTTCACTTTCCGCTAGAGACTTTTTTTTTATAAAATTAGTCAAACTTATGAGGAATGTATTAAATTTGTATTAAACTTGTATTAAATTGTTAAATCTTAGATTTAAAAAGAAAAATTTTTTTTGAATATCTAACACTAAATAGTTTGCACATTTTCTTGATTTTTACATATTTTCTCAAGATATGAACTTTAAATGCTTCTAAAAAAAATTGAGACTATGCATTTTTAATATTTTTCAACTACTATTGTAACAATGTATACGACAGCAGTCGGTAGGCGTAGGGAGCTTCTAGAGCGTTGAGTACTTGAGCGCAAAGGTGGGCATTAACTAGTTAATAAGTTAATATGAAGTTAAAAAGTTTAATTTTTTTTAACTTTTTAACTTAACTAGCTAGTTTATTTTCTAATCAACTTATGAATTGAACTAGTTTAATTTACAGTTGGAATAACTTAGCTTTTGTCAGTTGATTTAAAAAAAATCCATAAAGTTAAACACATTTTGAAATTTTTTGTTTATAGATACGTAAATGTTACTATATCAGTATAAAATAAATATAATCCAATAAAAAAACACAAACATTTCTGTTATTTTTCTTGATAACATAATTTTGTGTATATTAATATATTTCATTAAGTTGTAAATTATATATTATGCGAGTTACAATTATAAATGTTTTTAATAAAATTAATAACTTTAAATTACAAGATACAAATTGACAATAATTGTTATGTAACTTATAATATATATGAAGGTCATGTACTCATCTTCACGTATTATGACACTCAATTGCTATACGATATAAAAAATATATATGTTAAATTATTAATTTGAGATGAGTATAGTTTAAATTAGTAAATAATAGTAAAGCAAAAGTAAAATGGTATACAGTGTACACTATGATAAAAGTTCAATAAAATTATTTTTTATAATTTATAAATTAGAAACTAGAAAGACACATTCACTCTTTATGTAATTTACATACTAATTTAAAAAAAATAGATTAACTTTTTTTAAACTGAGTTAAGTTAATATTTATTTCTGTATTAAATTTTAACTTATCGAGTTAAATTTATAATTTATTAACTGTTAACTTTTAATTCATCGATCTTGTGCAGTCTTCTTACTTAACTTAATACTTAATTATTTTCATTAACTTGCCCACCTTTGCTTGAGCGTATGCTTAAAAACTCAGAATTCGAAACTGCCTTAGAATATAATTCCAAAACGAAGTCTGCCTATCTAATTTTGATTGCACCGACGTTCTTAACTCGTTGAAGTACATAGATTTAAAAAAAAAAATCAATATTCGTAATAGGTGCAGTAAGCTTCATTAAGCCATAACTTCGAAACTAAGTCCGACCGCCAAATTCTGACTTCACCATCGTTCTCAGTATAGTTAACTACATAATTATGAAAAATGGGTGTCTGTTAAAGTAACAAAGTTCCAATTATAGTAGTGAAATCATTAGTTTTTTTGGGTGGGCTAAGCCACCTAGCCACACCTTACTTGCGCCTACAGTGGTATGTGCATACTGCATAGGCTCGTTGAGTAACTTGTATATCTTAAATCTTGCTTATAACTATTTCTTAATCATATTCATAGACCTTATAAGGTTAGGTTAGATTAGATCAGGGGTCATCGGCAATTCAATTCTATGGCGGTCCAGATAATTTGAAAAAAAAATGTTCTAGGGCCCGAAAAAACTTAAATATTAGTTAATATACCGAATGTGTTTATTTTTGTGTTAAAAATACAGTTCAAGCTATTTAAAGCAAATTATTCAATATAATATAATATAAGCCAGTTTTTTAAAATTTGGTACTCTTGGAGAACAACTAATGAGCAGAGTGTTTTCAAGGTGGAGATCAGTTAATCTTTAACGATATTTATTCTTTAAGAACGTCATTTTGGAGAACGAAGTTTCTCATATTATGTATAGGTATTATGTGGAGCCAAAATACATCCAAATACAACATACAAATAGATCAAATATCTACTATGTGCGGAAAACAGCATTAAAAAAAATATGGGAAAAAAAGCCCTGACTCTATTGTTAAAAAAATCACCGTATACAATTTTGATGAATAATACAAAACATTAAAAATTAAATAATATTAGTCGATAAATTAATTGCTACACTATTTTCATTTTGTCGATAATATGAGGAACTTTTCTGCTTTACAAGACAACACTGGTTTTTGTCATTTTTTTGGAGGGGGGAGCTCTAAAAACAGTTGGTTCAATCATAATTCATCTTTTGAACTTCGTTTCAAAGTTATAGCTATTTGATGTTGTAACAAGTTTTAAAGTAGAAAAAGTAGTCACTCCCTACGCCCACCGGTTCCGGTAGAATACGATATCATTAATACCGGTCACCGGACATCGTCGAGGAAGAAGCAGCTGCTATAATATTACTGCTGGTAAATATTATAGATGCTGGTGCGTCGATATTTCATAAAAGGCGCCAAACGCGATAAACGAACAACGACCGACTGGTGACGTCTTTTTGAATGTCTTTGACGTGTATGGTGTGTCCATCGGGAGAACGATTGTTTTTAGCGATTTACATTTTACACATTATCTTTTGAACATCGAGTATCGGTTTTGTGGAATCCCTTTCGTCGAGAACGGCCGTCTCATTAGTCATTACGGTGCCATTTGCTCTCATTAATTTCGCTACATATTCGTCATCGTCATAAATAATAATATGTGCACAACGATCACCGCCGTTACAGCCGGAATCCAATGATTGAGATTTGAGGATACGAAATTTCGCATCATCTAGCGGACCGGACGAAGAAGACCGCCGCAGTGGTACGTCGAGTCCACCGACACACCGCCAGAGTCCGAAGCACACGCGCACGCGCACACTCGATAGAGCTTACGCACACACACGACGATGTCGGTGGCGCGTCGGGCGTAGCGACTAGCGATCCGCGAAGACAAGACGCGGCGGCGGCGTGCCCTATTCCTATAATCTTGTTATTGATCGTTTATTGTTGCGCGTTTGTTGTGACCGACACCGCTCCTAGCAACGGGAGAGAAGCCGTAGCCATAGTCACCATGAACGCCTTTTTCCGTCAACAATTCAGGTGAACGATTAACAACGTACAAAAAAATAACAATAAATAAACAAAAAATGCATTTATGTTTGGTTAGTCCGTTGTACACACACGGCGTTTACGACTAACCGAACGTAACTGACGTTAGTCAAAAAATTTCGTTTTGTCCTGACAACAAAAAACCAATAGTAACCGTTTGTGTGTGTGTGTGTGTGTATGTGTGTGTGCGTATATGTATACTTGTATACGTTCTCGTACGTGTGTATGCGTGTGTATTCACAGGTATACATGAATACATCACAACTGACGTTCCGTCCTGATCGAAACCTATGAAACGCTTCTGGGAGAGTCGTCCGACAACCGAACAGTAAGTGTTTTGTTCAATTTTATAAAAAAAAATGAACGTACTACCACTAGACTATGATGCGTGCGCGTTTTCTACCGACGGCCGGTACGTGGCGTCTGCCGTTTACAACCGTTTGATCATCAAGACGCAACCGTTTGCCGGCCCACACGTCGTGGCCACAGCCTCGTATGCCATTGACGGTCTGCAGTGGAACGTAGCGTCTGATCTCGTACTGTGCACACAGTTCAGCAGAGGTGTGGTACAAGTGTACGACGTGCATGCCGACAAATGGATACGCACCATTAGATGTGGCTATTTCAAGTTTGTGGCTGCCGAATGGATAGGTCGCGACAACATTTTGCTGACGCTTGAATTCCATATGGCTTTGGCTGTGTTCAATTTGTCAAAAAATTCCATTGTATACATTGAAATACCCAAACCCATATGGCCTTGTGCGGTGTTTGATAGCAATGGAACACATATGTTTGTGGTCTCCAAAATAAATGGTTATGAGAAATTGCTAATGATGAGATCTCGGAGTTTAGATAGGGTCATTTATATTCAAGACATAATAGGACCTTGTAATGGTCTAAATAAATCTCCAGATAATCGATTCCTCTGTGTTTTTAATGATAAAAAATTAGCAATTCTTGATTTTTTCTCTGGCAATGTTATTGGTTCAATTGAATGTTGTTCATTAAACACTGTAAGTTGGGCACCAAATAGTAAATATCTAGCTTTGGGATGTTCCTCGGGTAACATTGTTGTATTAACTTCTTCTAATGAGTTTAATGTAGAATTTGAATTATCTCGTTCTTCACTTAGTGAAGAATATGATTTTTTCGTAGAATCCGATAGAGTATTAATCAAAACAAACTCTTCAAAAACCTTTATCAATTCTATTTCAACAAAAATTTCTTTTATTGCTTGGAGCTTTGATTGTAGTTATTTAAGTACTTATGAAGTAGATTCAACATTTCTTTGTATTTGGGAGAAATATAGATTGATATGTGTAGTAGAATTATCTAAACAAATAAAAAAAATGAAGTGGTGTCAGGTAGAAAACAAACTGTCTGTAGCTTATGGTACAGATTTAATTTTTTTTTGGACCGAAGGACAAACTCCTAAATTACAGACTTCACCAAAGCTTATTGATGGTACATGTTTATTAGTTTCTAACTTATCATGGTCAATTAATAATAGAGATATGATTTTAAGTGATGGAAAAAAGTTTTTGGTGTTCACTACTTGATATGTACAGCCAAATTATAATATAATAGGTGATATCCATATATATGTAGTCATTTTTATTATATACCTAAATAATTAGTACTGACTTAAAATTATAAAATTTAGTTTTTAAATTATTGTTATTCTCCTTAAAAACTTAATTGAAATTAATGTATTTTAAGTTTTTATTTTGTTTTTATTAATTTTTATTGAACAACTATTATTTTTGTTATTTAGGCTAGGTATTTATAATCAAAATCACAACTTTTTAATATTTAAGTTAATATTTTATTTTAAATAAATTGGTAAAATATATGTATAAATAAATAATTGTTATCACAATAAATTATAAAATACTTGTATTTTCTGATGATGAATGAAAACCAAATTAAAAGAAAATTATGTATACTTGTAACACAGATTAAATCTAACTCAATTTTTTTAATATAAGTACGTGTTTTGCATTATATTGGTTATTAAAAATTGTTTAAGTGTTTAATAAATATGAATTAAAATGTTTTTCATTGTATTATGTGTCGTGTGTTTATTTTGTTTGTAGTTTTTAACTGTAAATTGAATTTTTAAGAAAATTATGAAATTAAATATGGGTTTAGGTAATTCCATGGCGACTTCTGTAAGGAGTGGAATCAAATTAGAAGGGTCAGCGGGTACTGGTTCCCAAATAAGTACTATAACTGTTGTAACGGCTGGTGGAGTTGGTCAAACTCTTGTTGTGCAACCAGTACAACAAACTTCCGTGGTGCGTACATCCATTGACCAGGTACTTACTTAATTTGTATAGTTTTATGTGTATTAGAAATATTTAAATATTTATGTTTTCAGAATGTCAATACTAATAGACAACTTGAAAATGCTTTATTGTGTGGAACTAGTCCAGTTCATGACGATGGATCTGATAAATCAATGGATGATGATCACATAGATCACAAAGATAGAATTTCTTCTACGGTTACTGTTGATAATGGCCATTATATTGTGGCAGCATCAGGTAAGTTTAACATAGTTGTTATATTAATACCAATTATGAAATAATGGAGAATTTTTTTTGTATGATAAAAGCATATCTTATTCAAATAAAATTAAAATTTTTATATTATTCTTGTGCAATATTAGTTCTCCATTTTTCATATAAAATGCATATTATCATTTATCGTGATTATAAAATTACACGCTTACAATTAAGAAGGGACTCAAGGACGATCTTATACTTCCCTTACACCTGTACCAACGTTGGGTAAGACTCAGGGAAACATTTGTTTTCATTTTCATTTCAAATTTTTTAAATTGAAATTGTCTAGTTTGTATTTTCTTCTTAATTTCATTTCTATTTCATATAAACTTTCTGATGTAATACTTTATATTTTGCTTAAAAGGCTCCTCATACTGGTGCCGGTATTTTTACTAAAAGATAAGCCTGTCTCATGTAACATAACATTAATTTGTGTCAATATTCATGCTAAATATTCATTAGTGTAATGGTATGTGGAGTCTTTGTGGCTCCTTTGCTTATTTTAGCTTGATTTCTTACAATTATTATTTTGTTAAACATTTAACAGTTAATTTATTGTTTCTATATTATATCATAAATACCTAATTGTTTGTTTTCTGTTTAGTTCCCGAAACAGAGTCCGTCGGTTCTGATGATGTTGGCCATTCTACTTATGTACAGTATGTTGAAGGAACTGGTGAACAAGCAATTTTCACAAATGGACAAATGTAAATTTGTTATTATTAATTTTAATATAAATATTTATATTAATTTCATTTTCAGGGCGTACCCAGTTTATACTGTGGGAGAGAGTGGAACAATGTATCAGACTGGTCAAACCCATTATTACACTCCAAGCACAAATTCTTATTCTCAAGTAAATATTTATATAAATTCTGGTTTATTATTGTTATGAAATTTTCATGATTTTGACTAACAGAATTATCCAAAAAGTCCTCATAAATTATATTTCTAAATAATAGTATAGAAGAACGAAGTTTTCTTCCGTTTTACATTTTTGAAAGTCTGTTGAGTGAATGGTCAGGACTTTCTGGATCATTCTGTATAGTTAATTTTGATTATATTACTATAATAACATATTGAGATTAAAACATGTTCAAAATGTTAAAGGTTACAAACACCTTAGGCCAACCAACATGTCAGGCACAAATTATAGGTAATGGAACCTATATTATACAACAGAATGTTGACAATGATCATACTATTATTGCTACTGCTCAAAGAGACAGCCCGAATTCCGTTATATCTTCGGTATAATAGTTTTGATATTAATGTGCCTCAGTGTGTTTTGTTTTACATTGTCTTTAGTTTTATAAATTGTTGCATTGAACTTATTACTATTTATTTTTATTAATTCTTTACTATTATTTTAGGATGTGTCATATCTTACAGTGAATGCTACTGAGACTGGTACAACAAACCCCAGTATAGATCAACTGAACGGTGTCGAGTCAGATGGAATGCAAAACTCTGGTCTTATGCACGCAAATAGAATTTCTCCTGCAACTGTAAGCAGTTACAACCTTTTATTTAGAATAATAAATAACTCATTAATATATTATTATAAAAGGTCAACTGGCTGATGGAAAATTATGAAATGGCTGAAGGGGTGTCGTTACCTCGATCAACTTTATATAACCATTATTTAACGCATTGCTCGGAAACTAAAATTGATCCTGTAAATGCAGCATCATTTGGTAAACTTATCCGATCTGTGTTTATGGGATTACGTACAAGGCGCCTAGGAACTCGGTAATTTGCTATTTTTAACTATATTATTACATTATCTGATTTATTTAACCAACACTTTTTTTTTTAGAGGAAATTCCAAGTATCATTATTATGGCATTAGAATTAAGGCAAGTTCATTATTAAATGACTTTTCCTCTGAAGAAAACCTACCAGGGCGAACAAATCAAAGTAGTAGTTCAAAAAAAATTAAGTTCATTAAAACTGAAGAGAGAAACTGTAATCAATACACCACCAACAGTTCAGATTCTGCTAATTGTTCTCAAAACAGTATTCCATCTTCTCCTCAAGCACAAAACCAAGAATATTTAGGTGATGGTGCAAATGCTGTACCAGAATTTCCTGATATTATTTTAGATGAAATACAATTGGATGATAATTGTACTTTAGAAGATGTAGATACTTTCAAAAATTTGTATCGTGAACATTATGAAGTACTTAATTGTTTTTAGTTTGAAACTTATTCATTTTATTTAAATAATATTGCTTTTGTAGGCGTTTTTAGGTGCCATATTGAACTTAGAATTTGGCACTATTGAGTCACTTTGGCGTGAATTTTGGCGTAGTCAAGATAACAATAATGATGAATGCGAAGAAGAAAAATATTTATCTAAAGAAAAATTATATTCACTGTCAAAATGCAAAACATTGCAACTGTTTGTAAAAACTGTTGATTTTCTATTTTATCAAAACTTAGTGAAAGTTTTAATTCCAGATGTTCTTCGGCCTGTTCCTGGTATGTATATTTTATATGTTTGTAGTTAAAGATATAAATTTTATTACATTTTGTATAGGCACATTAACACAAGCCATTAGAAATTTTTCCAAAGGCTTAGAGTCATGGCTTATATCTGCAATGCAAGGGTGCCCAGAAGAAATGATCTCAATAAAAGTTATTATTTTCATATAATTTTTATATAACCATTCATTGTTGTTATTTATTATTATAATTCATAATTTTAGGTGACTGCTGTTAGTGCCTTTGCACAAACCTTACGCAGATACACTTCGCTTAATCATCTTGCCCAAGCAGCAAGAGCTGTCCTTCAAAATTATACCCAAATAAATCAAATGCTTACTGATTTGAATCGTGTGGACTTCCGTAATGTACAAGAACAAGTAAGAGATTTTGAAATTTTATATCCTAAAATATATTAAATCAATTAATTGTTTTTTTCTAAAAAGGCTTCTTGGGTGTGCCAATGTGACTCGACATTGGTCCAACAATTGGAGGCGGATTTTAAACATACTTTACAACAACAAAATTCTTTAGAAGAATGGGCAACATGGTTAAAAAGTGTTGTGGATAATTGTTTGAAACAATATCGTGATACACCTAATTTCACAAAAGAAGCTAGGCAGTTTTTATTAAAATGGTCATTTTATAGGTAAATATTAATTATTAAGATTTTTTAAAAATTAATTTTAACATGTATACATTGTGAATAATTTACATTCATACTTTTGTTATTTTTTATAGTTCAATGGTAATACGTGATTTGACTTTACGTTCAGCTGCTAGTTTTGGATCGTTTCACCTAATTCGCCTGCTCTATGATGAGTACATGTTCTATTTAATTGAACATGAAGTGGCTCTAGTCACAGGAGAAACACCAATTGCAGTAATGGGTTCAGGAGATGTAAGTATAGTTAAATAATTGTATTATAATTGTTTTTTTGCATTTAGCTAATTAAAATAATTTTAAATTGAATTTTGTTTTCTGTAACTTAAATTGTTTAGTTTTTTTTTTTTTATTGAATATGTAGGTACTTCTATAAACTTATGCTTAAGTTATATATATTAATTAGGCTGTACAAACAAATCATTCATGTTTTACACAAAAATTATCAGTTTTTAAGATTAAAAATAATAAATCATTGAATTAACATTAAAAAAAAACAAATACACCTTTGATTACATAATTATATAATATTTATGTTAATATATTAATAGTTATTAGTTTATATAATATATTATATATTTTTAATTTAGAAAACTATATCCACTGAAGTTTTGATTGACTACGACTCCACGGAATATACCACTAATTGCAACGGAAAACGCATGAAAATGAACTAGACGCCATGCCATATTATATATTTCATTTTTGGGCACATATTCACATAAGATTATTTTAGTTATTGTTTGAACCGAATGTTTTTTTTTTTTTGTTATTGTGCGCACTGCAATTTTTATTTTTATTTATACCTACCTACACTTTGTAGAAGATGTTTTTATTTATTAATTCCCAAAGACTTAAATATTATCTACATTTTTTATATGACATTTTGTGCAATTATTTGTTTCTATTTTTTTCATTATTGTGATTTTGTAAATTGTAAAATGTTTGTTACAATACATACAGCAAACATTTAATATTATGATTGGATTTTTTGAGGCCTAAACAGCATTTGTGATGAAAATTGTTTTCAACTTTTTTTTTCTTGTTTATAATATATCTAAATACTTAATAATATTATATTGTATTTTAACTTGTGTTTAATTGTGTTTTTTGGTATTACAATTTTTCAATATACACATACACACTAAATGCAAAATTGATTTTATTAACATAACAAATTATACATTTTTAGTAATTTTAATTAAGAGTTATTCTACTTGTCCCATAATTTTCAAGTTATCTGCTTTGACAAATTCACATCCAGTACTTTGAACTATGTCTACAATTTCAACACCATCAGCAATCTCAACCAAAGTCAATCCATTCTCCGGATCCACATCAAATACACACTGAAAAATACAATTGATTGTTTTAAATGTATGGTATTTAACAACAAATATCAAATAATCTACCTTTTCTGTGATAATCTTGTCTACACATCGACTACCAGTTAACGGAAGGGTACAACTAGATATAATTTTTGGGTTGCCTTCTTTTGTTGTATGTTCCATGACTACTATGACTTTGGTATGTGGAGCTGACACAAGGTCCATTGCACCACCCATACCTTTGACCAATTTTCCCTGATTGAATAGAAAACAAAATAATTCAAGTAAATAAAAAAATTATGTAATATTTAATATTTACCGGTATCATCCAATTAGCCAAATCCCCGTATTGAGACACTTCCATTGCACCCAGTATAGTTAAATCCAAATGACCTCTAATTTAGAACATTGAAGAATATTGAAAAACAATTAGTACAGTAAATAATAATTCACAGCTCCAGTATAATTACCCTCTTATCATTGCAAAACTTTCTTCACTACCGAAAAAACTGCTACCAGGTATGACAGTTACTGTTTCTTTACCAGCATTTATTAAGTCTGGATCAACACATCTTTTGGACGATGGATATGGACCAAGACCAATAATACCATTTTCACTTTGTAACATTACTTGGACACCCTCAGGAATGTAATTGCTAGCTAACATTGGCATGCCTATGCCCAAATTAACTGTTTAAAATATTTCTTAAGGATAATTAATAATCAACCGATAGTTATGATAGCAATGTTACAACTTAGAGAGGTGAGCAAACTGACATAAAAATAAGACAAGTAGTTGCAAAACAAAAGGATACTATACATGCCGTTTTTGAATTCAAGAGCAGCACGCTTAACAATTGTTTCTCTTAATTGAGCAGCTGGTGAGCAAACTAACATGGAAATGGATTCATCAGACTTTTTGGACAAAACTGTTTTCTAAATGTTTACCGGTTCTATTATTGTTTAATATATTTAATTTATAATAGATCAATAATTTACTTCAACTTTTTTTATATAATCTTTGCCCAGCACAATTCTATCAACATATATTCCAGGAACATGTACTTGATCTGGATCAATATCACCATTTTCTACTATTTCTTCAACTTCTACAATTGTAGTTTTTGCAGCTGCACACATGACTGCATTAAAGTTTCGAGCTGATTTACTATCAAAATTCAAAATATTATTACAAATGTTAACAAACTTATTGTTAATAATATTACTTAAATACAAGATTTCCTTCATGGTCTGCCTTTTGTGCTTTAATGATAGCATAATCGGCAGTAATTGCTTTTTCCAAAACATACGTCTTATCATCAAAGACTTGAGTTTCTCGGACATCACTGCTAATTTCCACGCTTCTTCGTGGGTTATTTTTGTTAGCTTCACTGGTCTCATCATCTTCAGCTGATTCTTTATGCAACGCATACTTTAGTGGGATACCCCCTTCTTCCACAAGAGTACCTACAGCAGTTGGAGTATAGAATGCTGGTATACCTGCACCTCCAGCCCGTATACGCTCAGCTAATGTTCCCTGAAAATGAGATTATACTTCTATATTGAATTAATTAATATTAATAATCTACAAACTTGAGGGGTGAGTTCTACTGTAAGCTCTCCATTTAGATATTGCTGAACAAATTCAGAATTTTCACCCACATATGAACCAATGATTTTAGATATTTTCTTTTGTTTCAATAACTTTCCTAAGCCAAAATTATCTACACCGGCGTTATTACTTATCACTGTCAAGTCGTTTATGTCTTCTCGTTCTACTAAACCGTCAATCAGTTTTTCAGGGATACCACAAAGACCAAAACCTATATTGATAAAAAAAATATTGTGAATTAAAAATCAATATATTTCAATATTTATTTTTATATTTTCCAATTACATGTAATATAACATGTTAAAAACAATTTAAAAGCCAGAAATTTGAATTTAAATCAGTATAAATTGCACATTATATGTAAAGCATTATCTAATCTTCTAATTAATTGGTTTACATTTTTTTTTTATTTAAAATAATGATACATTAGTTCCAAAAATATCACAAAGGATTTAATAAAAATATAGTTTTTGATAGTTTAATAAATTAGTAAGTTGTAAAATGTGCGTTATAGCAATGTCTTGAATATTATTAACATTAGCTTGTTAAAACGGTAAACGGACGTTTCGCCCCCGTCAAAAATTCAGTACACAGACGTTTCGTCCCGGAGAGTTATTAGCCATAGGACGTTTGGCCCCCGGCATACTTTGATAATCTAAATACATTAATTTTTAATGAACAATTTAATCTTTATATGACAATACTAGAAAATATAAAAATACTAATCAATATTTATACAATACAATTACAAATAGTCAAGATAGAAATAAATCACAATTGTATTAAGTCAACACAAAATGTAGTAAAAATAATAAATTAAAATTAAATACTATAATATTAAGATAAATTATATATTTATTTTTAGGTCAACTGACTTATGTTTTATAAATAATATAAAATATAATTATCGTCATTATATTGAAATCCTGTACAATATTATGATTGCAATTTCTTTTCCTTAAAACTAACTATTTTCGGTACAATTATTATTTCATTTTGTTTTTTTACCAATGCAGTCGCTGCAGACGCATTGTACATCTGTATCAAATACTCTTAAAATAAAGTATTTAAATAAATATATAATATTATATTGTTAAAATGTTAAAGTAAAACCACGACGGCATGGTATTTTTATTTAACAAAAATAATTATAAGTAGAAATTAAATTAAGAATTAAAAGATTAAAAAAAAAGTATTCAATACGGAAAAAAGTATTTGTATACTTTTACTCAAATACTTTACAACCCTATATATTAGACATTACAGAATTGTTCATTAAAAAAAAATTTAGTAAATGTTAGTAAAATAATGAACTTTGAAGTAACTTTGAAGTCCTATACCTAATGAAAATATGCCGGGGACTAAACATCCTATGGCTAATAACTCTCCGGGGCGAAATGTCCTATCTCAATAATTGCCAGTGACGAAATGTCTGTGGACTAGTTTTATTAACAGGGACGAAACAGCAGGTGCGAATCGTCCGTGATTCGTTAAAACATGCAAGATAAAAAATTTAAATAGTTTGGGAAAGTATATTATTGATTTTAAATTCTAATAAATCATAATAACGACACTAATTTTTTAACGTGACATAAAATAAACTAATAAAAAAAACTTGATACCCAGTTAAAATTAGTAAAATAAATTCCTTCCAAACAAAAATTAAAATAATCTATAAAAATATTCTTTAAATGTATTATATACATAAACATATAGTCATAAAAGCCATAATTTATTATATAATTAATAAATATTGTTAAATAAGTTAATTAAAATGTACTAAAATAATTAACAATACACTCAGGTACTCAACTATAAGCTATTAAATAATTCAATCATTTAACTAACCACCAAATAGAATTGAACTGCCAGGTTTAATATCCTCTAAAGCATGGCTGACACATGTATAAATTTTTTGTTTTTTTAGACTAACATTGAAACTAAAATTTGACACCTAAAAAATTCGATTATTTAGTTTAGAACAGTTTACAAATCTATTTATCTCACCTGAAGCACAACAATAAGATTTTTTGCAGTTGGTCTAATATAATGACGATTTGTGTACAATGAAAACATTATGTTCGTGTCTTCGTGAATTGTGACATTCAAGAAATTAAGTATAAAAGTTGCAACGTTATCTTTAAATAATTTGTCATTTAAAATAAAAAATATTAAAGTTTGAACTCTAATTTTTTTTATCGTTATGTTATCAAAATGTAGACCTCATAATCGTATATTTTGTGTTATCAACTTGTTATTCAAGCACAAATTGCGATAATATCACAGAACAATATACTATATAGACAGGAGTACGAAACTATAGATCACGTCGTCTTATATCATAGAACAGTATATTATGCTTATAATATAGATGTTTATAGAAATCACGGAGATAGTCATTACACAGAGTGTGTCATAGAAATATCATCTATATTATGTAAATTGCAGGTTATTCTGTGGTATTATATTTACGCTGTGTCTAGAGCACCGGGCGCCCGGCGCTCTAGACCATAGACGTATAATATATTATCTATGTTCACTCACAGATTATATTATCTGTTTTATTTAATCTGTGATAATATAGACAAGACGTGATGCAATTGCAACTAGATTCTTCATGTTAATGATTCAAATTTCAAATTTCAAACAGCCTGTTTTACTTATTTAATATTTTTACACTACAAGTCTGTTTCAAGTGATAGTTTTAAAGTAAACCGAGAATTGAAAAAATATTTTTTTGTTGATACTTGAATATGAACTGTGATCTGTAAAGTATTAAATAAATAAATTATTCTGTTAAAACCATTTTTACTCAGAAGATAGTCAAATGTATTAAAAATGACATCGTGTTTAGATAATACTGTAGACATGATGAACAATGATGAAGAAATACGTCTATTATCTGCTGAAATAGCACTATTAAATGTTGAATTGAATAAAAAATGTGCTTTATTGAAAAAAAAACAGGTACTTAATAATTAATATCAATAATAAATAATAACATATAAATACATGTAACACAATAATAAGTGAATTCCAAAATTGTAATTGCAAGTCCTAGGATTTAAGTTCACAAAACTGAAGTTTCATTATATTATAATGTATAAAATATGATCCCATTGTCGCAGAAAAATTGACGAGAAATACAAAAATATTCAAAAAAAAATAAAATATAAACTTCCCAAAATTCAATTAAGGCTTGGCTTAATTGTTTTAATAGTGTGTGGAAGTTTTTCCATCTATCAATCTGATTATTATTCATGTCCTCAAAATAGACTAAATGTCCTCAAAATACTAAAATAAAATCTTATTCAATATTATATTGTTAGGTAGTTTGAACCAAAAAAAAAAAAAAAAATTAATTACAATTGAACTAAAAAATTGGTGATGATTTTTAAAATAGATCAATAGAAAATATTTGTGTGAAATAGGTACCCTATAATATTTTCAATATCAACTTAATAACTATTTATATCAGGGATGGGCAACTGGCAACCGACGTACCATTTTTCATTGGCCCATGCTACATTTCAATTTAGTTTATAAAAATATAAAATTTAAGATTTTTCTGTATTTTATTTTAGTATATTTATAAAATTATTAAAATCGATATAATGTTTATCGTAAAACCTAGATATAAATTCTTATCTAGTATTGAACTATTAAATGTAGATAATATTATATTATTTATAGTTAACACAAGGTTTTTTTTTTGCTTTCTATGTTCTCTGACCCGCTAGATTTTCCCACATTCAAAATTGGTCCTCTAGTAGCATCGAGTGGCTCATCCTTGATTTATATTATAATATGTATAAATAATTTTTTTAAATATTATGAGGTAATCCAATATTTTTAATTATTACAAGTTGCAATATTTTTGTGCTAGTGACTTCATTTTTACCCATGACATTATAATGGTATACCTCAGGGGTCGACAATCTTTTAACTTTTAAATGTCAAGGGCTAAAATATAAAAATGAATTCGGGTCACAATTCTGATAATAAACCTTATTCTATTTAAACAAAAGTTTATAGTCATATCAAATTTAATTTATTTAACTTCATCACTGTTTGGTATATTAACTATCAAGGTATCTAAATTATAATAATAATAATAGTAAAATAAAGTACCTATACCTATTGGGCTCAACTCGTTAAAATAAATCAACCTCAATTTTTACCAACAAAGATTATGTGGTGTATACTGTTTTTATACTAATTAATAATTATAAATTGTTATTGTGGGTCTCATAAGATTGGTACGCTGGCCGCAGGTTGCCGACCCCTGGTATACCTTATACAATCTCAAAACATTAACGAGCTTATAAATGAGGCGTTAAATGTATTCATGTACTCATGTATTTATATAACTTATTACCTTAGGTAAATGTCATATTGTTGAAAATTTATGTTATTATTTATGTACAATCATAATATATTATACAATATGTATTTTACATTTTTTGATATTTTAGAAGCAATGCTTGACTAAAGTCGACATTAACCGTTATAGCAGACAGATCATTTTACCAGAAATTGGTGTTGAAGGTGAAATATTTTTATTTATTTAATTAATAATTTTATGATTTCTAAAAAAATTATTATTTAATTAGGACAAAAAAAATTAAAAACCGCAAGCGTTCTTATAATTGGCGTTGGTGGCCTAGGATGTCCATCATCAATGTATTTAGCAAGTGCCGGAGTTGGTACAATTGGACTAGTTGACTACGATGAAGTGGAACTTAGTAATTTGCATAGACAGTTGTTGCATGCACAGTGTAATGTTGGTATGCGAAAAGTTGAGTCTGGCAAATTATCATTAAATCGGTTTGTATTAAATTATTATTTATTACTTAAAAAAATATCAATAAAACATCCATCTAATTTTATTACTATTGTTTTTATATTTTGAATAACTTAATTTTCAGTATGAATGAGGATGTTAATATTGTTGTCCACGACGTTCAATTGGATGGTCATAATTCATTGGACATTTTTAAACAGTATGATGTAATTATAGATGCTAGTGATAATTTGGTTACTCGATATATAATTAATGATACTTGTGTAAAAGCTGGTAAGCCTTTAGTCTCCGGATCAGCTATACATTGTGATGGGCAACTGACCGTTTATAACTACAAAGGATCTGTATGCTTTAGATGTTTGCATCCAAAACCACAATCCCCTGAAACTGTAGGAAATTGTGCTTCAGCAGGTGTTTTGGGTCCAGGTAACAATACATCATTATAGTTCTTGTATATGCAGTAAAATCATCTTATAAGACCTATTTCCATATATTTTAGTGTTCGTATAATAGAAACTCCTTTAAAAAAAATAAAAAAATCAATTGGTACTAAGTTATTCATTTATGAAGAGGTTTTATTGTATATATATTATGTATATTATCTATGTATAAAGCATTTAGTTACACTATATGGTTATTGTTTACAGTTCCCGGGGTTATTGGTGTTCTACAAGCAATGGAAACTATCAAAATTATTGTTGATCACCCAAATGTATTACATAACAGTTTATTGTTATATGATGGAGGGGATTGTGAGTTTAAAAAAATTAAATTAACAAATGTAAAACGAAATGGATGTATATGTACAAAAAATCCAGAAGATATAACAATAACCATGGACTATGAAGAATTTTGTGGATCAAAAGCAAATGATAAAGTAAATTTAATATGCATACAACATATCTAATAATATTTTTAAAATGATGATTTATTGATTGTTTATTAGTTCAAAACTCTTAATTTGCTGAAAGAAAATGAACGTATAACAGTTTTAGATTTAAACGAATTAGTATCTACAAAAAATCCATTTTTGATGATAGATGTACGTAAAAAAGTAGAATATGACATGTGCCATTTACCTTTTTCTATAAATATTCAGCTAAGTGATTTAAAAAGTAAAGATACTCGTTCTAAGTTGATCGAAAAAATTAATTCATTTAGTAATATGACACCAAATTGTAAGTAAAATTAACATTCATAATTAATAATTTTGTTGTATTGACATTTAGACAAAAAAAGTTTCTGTAATTCTTTTTATATGTGTAATTTTTACAGTGATTACTATTTGTCGTCGAGGCAATGATTCTCAAAGAGCTGTAGATGAGTTAAAGAAATACACTGAGATAACAGACAAAGTCAAATGGATAAAAGATGTCATTGGAGGATTATATGAATGGAGTATGCAAGTGGACAAAAACTTTCCAATATATTAAAAAAAATATATTGTTGATAAACTATATAATGTTACTACTATAACGTTGTAATTGTATGGCAATTATTTTGATAATAAAAAGGTCTCTGAACTTCAGACATGAACTAAATATGTTTGTTTGGTTTTATTCCAAATAGTGAACATCTGATTGTGATCTTAGTCGTTCTGCAGCTTGTTCCGCAGTTAAATCTCTTTGGCATTGTGCCAATAGCTCAAATCTAAACATATATACACATGAGTGAAATGGTATTTATTTATTAATAATCAATAAAAAAATATAAGTATCATATTATTTACCCGGATATGAATTTTTTTACTGTTGCTGAACGTAACAATGGAGGCAAATAAATTCCGTGGAATACCCAGTGGTCACTATTTTCACAATTTGGTCCAGTTGGTGCACCTAACAATACATAGGTAATACAGTTAGTTAGTATTATTATTTATAAGCTCAATTTGTATTATATTAATATTTTAAACGTACCATGCCAACCCATTGAATATGGAAATGATGTTTTGAACATGTTATCATATTTTATTGTCAATATTTTCATTACTGATGCCAAAGTTGTTTTTTCGTGTTCTGTAATTTCGTTCATCCTTTTTATATGTCGTTTTGGTAATACCATAGTCTCATATGGCCATATAGCCCAAAATGGCACCAAAACAACCCAATGTTGATTTTCAGTAACAATTCTTATCTATTTAAATGTACATAGGTAATTTTATCAAAAAATTAATGTCAGTATTTATTGAACATTTTAAAATAATTATTCAATTATCCCCCCTTTACAAACTACATATACATTTTAATTATTTTTTAAAACTGTAATTAAACAATTCTAAGTACCTTTCATTACAACAAAAGTTTCAGTCTTTCTATTTTGTGCTTAAGTAACTACAAATATTTTTTAATTAATTAAAATTTAGCTCATTATTATTTACTGTTTTAAAAAATATTACCAATTTCAAAAAAAGTTATTGACTGGGAAAAATAGTATATTATGCAAAGAAATAGAGTTATAAAATAGTAGTGATTAGGGCCGTGCTAAGGGAAGGTGGGTAATGGGGCAAGATGCTTAGGCCACACAATTTAGGGGTAACAAATTAAAAGATAATTTTTCATTGTTTTAAAAAAAAAATATGAATTTTATATGTGATATGTTAATAAAAATATTTGATACCAATTTAATGATATTAATTATTACTTATTATAATACGAGTATCGATTTTATATTTATATTTGTATTTTTGTAGAGGTTTAAATATCTATCATGTCGAATAAGGGCATAAAATATTATTGCCATGGTGTGCCAATAATTGTTAGCACGGCAATGGTCGAAGTAATAAAGTCTATAGGAGGCTACTGAATGATGCTATCATGCAAAATAGAGAATAGTATAATATTTAATATTTCCTACTTTTGCTTTTAATTCGCGATCAACATAATCCATCAGCATTGGTCTTCCGTACTTTTCCAGATATTCTCTCTGATTAATATCTTTGATACGTGGTTCATTTGGTAAAAATGAACAAGCCCATATTTGGCAATGGGGATGATGATTAGAACAACCCATCATTGTACCTTTGTTTTCAAATATTTGCACCCAAGTATAGGTCTTTCCTAGTTCTTCCAATTGCTGTATCCAACTGTGAAAAAAAAAAAAATAGTAAAAATGAACAATATTAATATACTTCAAATTATACCTTGAAATCACTGTTACTATATCATTTATAGACATAAGAGCAATTGTCACATTGGATTTGGGATAAAAACACATAACACGACATGTACCTTTAACTCCTTCAATTTGAAACAAAGGATCATCACTTGGGGGAGGTGATGGTGTATCCTCTAGCATGGCTGGAAAGTCATTTGTAAATACATATGTAGATTTGTACTCTGGCGTCAACTAAAAAAATTGTAGATTAAAACATCACATGTCACAAGCATAATATTATTTATTTATATACTCACAATACCACTACTCCTGACTACACCAGGACATAGGGGGTTGGTAGGATCGAATTCCGGACCCATATCACTGTGCACAGACTCTGTTTGTCCATCCCAAGGTCTTTTCATTCGGTGAGGAGATACCAAAATCCATTCTCCTTTTAATGGATTATACCTCTTATGAGGATGTTCTAAATTGAGATATTATTATTTAGAAACTAATTAAGTATAGTCCTATTAATTATAGAACATGTGCAAACTGCAAGCATTAACAAGAAAATAAATTATCGCTCATTATTTGAAATACTTATCTGATATAATATTATGTGTTAAATTTTTCATTTATAGATAACTCTAAGAATATATTTTTAGACTTTTAGTATTAAACAATAATAATAAAAGTAAAACCCTTAATGTTTTGTCATAGTATAATTTGCATATTTTCGAGATTTTGATAAATTTTGAGTTTTAAATGTTTATAAAAATAAATTGTGCCTACATAATAATGAAAACTTATGAGGAATCTTGTATTTAACTTTCAAAAATGTTGACCCAACAAAAGTTTTTGATTTACATGTTCTTGAAAAAAAAACTAAAAACATTGAAAATTTAAAATGTCTAAAAAAAATAAAATAAATATTACACCAAAAACAAATATTGCTATTGTTAAAAACTGATATTAAGTAAAAATTACCGTTTTTCCTTAATTTTTTTTTTGGTTTTTCTTAACTGATAAAAAAAGTACAAAAAATTAAAATAAAGTGTATTGATATTTTACATATTTTCTTGACCTTGATAAATATTAAATATTTTATTTATAATAAGTAAATAGTAAAAGGTCGTAGGTTAACCTACGTATAAGGAATTTAATAAAATGTGGTATATTTATATATTATTTTTTTATCATGATAAGTAAAATTATTAAATCTGTAAAAGTATATACATATAAAGTCACATATCACACGGATTTTTCGAACTTTTTATTTAACACTAATTAAACACTTATAATAATACTTTATAAAGTTATAAATAATAAATTTTAGTATAAGGTTATCTTTAGATGACTTGTTGCTTATAATACTAAAAGATCAATGTAATAAATAGTATTTTATTTAAACAATATGATAAGTTAATGTAGTAACTTTGGGTAATCCACTAACTATAACCTATGGTCATTACTGAAAATGTCAAATTATATTTTTATTTTATTTAGTTTAATATAAAGTTATTACAACCCAACATTTATATTGAAGTTGTATATGAATAAAATATAGACAATATTAGTTAATTTAGTTAATTTAGTCAATATTAGTTAATAATATTATCTAAATCTGTTTAATTTTTCATACATTTTCTTAAGATAAATAATATTAAGTTAAATATCTTTATGTAAGCATAAAATTCTTACTGTTATAAAACAATTATTTTCAAAATAATACTAATTTAATAAACATTAAAAAGTAATCTGTAATTATTGTCACAAATGGTTTTATAAGGTTTTGCTAAATATATAAATACTGATCTATTATTTTTATTTTTTATAGTACCTAGTTAATGCAATTAGTTGAGATTTATAATTTTAGTAATAAACCTAACAAATAATTTATTTTTCTTGTATATTTTATCATGTTTCAGTATTCCATTTACTAGGCAGTAGGTCAAATAACTTAAAAAATAACCTATTTGTAATATAATAAAATAATTTGTACTTATACATAATTGGCATGTGTATTATTTTAAATTAAATCTCTGTTAAAAAAAAATGCCCTCAAGTACATACACACCCATCTATAATATATATATTAATTAATTAAATTACAATTGCGATGTGATAATTACCAGATGCGTTGAACTCCATGATGTCTTAAATTTATTTTCTGTCGAATGTATCAAATAAATATGATGTCTTATTAAAAGATGTGCACTTAAGAAAATAATCGATAATTATTCAACTGACGTAGTCTTAAGGCTTACATATTTTTAAAGATAAGATAACACTATGATATAGGCATATAGCTACCTAATTATCAATTCATAAAGAAGTAAACAACATTGTTCAATGTTCATATAAAGATATAAAAAAAAAAAAATGAGATAGGATAATTAATAAATATATATTATATTTTAAAAGTGTATAAATAATCAAATAGAAACAGCATAATAAATAATTAACAGTTGTTTGTACATTATAACATTTTATTTTCTCCAATATTGAGCAAATTTATGCAACTGTTCAACAAGTACTGCCATCACAGCAGTGACAGACACATCTAATAGATTTTGGAAATAATGAACAGCTTCTTCATCACCCAAATCCAGTCTGAATTTGTCTTGGACTTTATTAACAGTCTTATCCGGCTCGAGTGCAATATCTGGAACGCTGGCATCTACCATCAATGAGAAAAGATTTAGTATAAGATTAGCATGGCGCCTCAAGTGCAAAAACGCAGTATAACATAATTTTCTGAATTCATGATAATGTTCACTGTTGACACCGCCCATTGCTTCCACCATTTCTTTGCTCAATTTCATGGGAGGGGGCAAGGGTTTAGGGTCTCTACCCAATATATATCCAAAATCTATGTGAAACAGTTTACCCGTCGAAGTCAATAATAAATTATCGAAATGACGATCGCCGACTCCCAATAAATATGTTATAACACAGTAGCCAGCACAACTTTTTATATAATTTTCCATGATATCAGAAGATATTCCAAAGGGTGCATTCTCATTTGGATGGGTCTTACGGAAATAATTTTGTATTGAGCCTTCAGTTGCTAATATTTCAGCAACAGGTAGTGAATTTACAAACTGCACAAAACCATGTCGTGTGCTTGTTGCCAACACTCTGTATGGAGTAAGTTTCAAATCTAAGTTTTCACTTCTTAAAAGTTTATCCATGAGCGTGATGATCTGTAATATGAGTTGATCTTGTCGCAGATCATCGCCGTGTTTAAAAATAGCTACATACTCTTTGTTGTCTTGTACCATGAATGTGAGTCTTGAAGGCATTAGAGCAGACTTAAAGAGGACTGCTTTTTCAGGAACTATCCCTGTAATATGTATACTAGGGTCAAGTGGCAAATGTAGAGGTTCAAATGATATAAAACTAAATTTTGTGTCTGTTTCACCCAATAATGCTTGCAGCTTATCGATTTTCTTTTTACGGTTGCCACTTTCTCTGGCAACAGTTTTGATGATTTTGACTAAACGATCAATAAAATTTTGTTGACGTGTCAACATTCCATGTATTCGCTGACATTCTGCACTACCGTTATACAAAGTCATCAAAAATGTTTTCATAACACTTAAATACATGTTACGAACACGTATATCTTGTTTAATAGTAGAGTCTTGATCTTCACATTCAATCATCAAATACCAATAAAAATAATTAGCCAAACTGAAGTTTTTGCTTGCTCTATGAATCAAAAAACGTGCCAGGTCCATATCTTCAGGCTTACACATTTCAAAATGATTAATTGTACAAGCGATATTACTGTCACTACTGTCTTTTAAACTTAATCCGGATACTGACTCTGTCAGACTATCGGTTACAGGATATTTATCTTCCATTAACTTTAAGCTGTTGTTAATATGTTCAAAGTTCTCATACTTGAGAGCTTGAACCAACTGTAATAAATACAGGAGTAAATCTTCATCAGTTGCTTGTTGTAATCGTTCTACAGCATATTTGCGTACTAATGAATGTTTGAATGCTGGACTTAATAAACGCAATGAGTCGTCTACATCCATTGGAGCCCATTGATACATCATATCTAATGCCTGCATAGCCTCTCCTTGCAATTTCCAGTTAACACATTCTAGAAATTTTGTTAGAGCCTTTTTTTGATTACATAGGTAAAATCGATACTTCCATATCAGATCTTGTTCTTCTGTTGTTAATATTTTTGTAGGGGGGTATCCAACAATACTGTTTAACATATCCCTTATTGTTGCAGTTGGTTTCGCATCCTTGTCAGATATACCACTTCTTAAACTTCTGGCAAGTTTATGATGTTTACTTTCAACTAAATTTTCCTGCATTACTTCAGCATCCGGTACAGTAACTATATCTGGGTTAACTCTAAACGGGTATATTTCATCACCATCTTGTTCATAATGCACAACACTATAGACAGTACCATTTGATATAATTTCTGGAAATTCTATCATCAAATAAGGATAATTGGAGGTCTTTTTTTCTTTTTCGTTGATAAGTTCAATCTCTCTAAATGTTAATCTGTCCAACCAGTCAACTTCAGGTATATTGCCGTTTCTATGCTGTTTGGCCAATTTAGCTAACGATTGCATGCGATTAGTGTCTGATAAACACTTGCCGGGTGTAGAAGAAATATTACCATCAGCTTCTCTATCAGGCCATACTCTGAGATCAATCATACCTTGTCGAAAAACACCGTGTTTGCCAAACAGTGATATAGATGTACCGCCAACTGCTGTCATAGTAGTTGGTCCAGCACAGTCATACACTGTCAGCGTTAATAATGCATTCCTTGGCAGATCACTAAACTGGATTGGTAATATAACCCATTCATTCCAGCTCCAACGGTTAGTAAAATGTTTGTAAGAAGTCGAAACTGGTAAGCTAAGTGGTTTACTGTCGCTATATACTTGGCAGTATACTACCAGATCAGAAATCTGCTTTTGATATAAGCCAGAAAATTTTTTCATTGGATCACTAAGTATTTTTTCATAGTCAATGTTGTGTTTGATACCTTCAAGAGTTCCAATTTTTATCTGAACATTTGTCTCTAATGAACAACTGTACACATAGTTAAAAGTGCTATTCAGATTATTAGTCATCTTCAATGTTTTGATATTGAATACGAAATACCTAATAGTTTTAAATTAAGCAATCACTTACATTAATTTTAAATAATATTATTTACAATATAATATTACAAATTTGAACATCTACACTCTTTGTTAAATTATAAAATTAACATGATTTCAACCTTCGGTATTCCAACCTAACATTACATTTTACCTTCACGATTCACACCAGAGATTATCCCTTTCCTATGGTAATATAACATTATAAGTCCATACAAGTTACAATTTAAGTACTTAGTACTTACTACTTAATTTAAATATTTAATCAATGGACAATGTAAAAATTTGCAAAGTTCTGCGATTAAAAGATAAAATTGTTATCAGTTATCATCATAGATATTATCTTATTGTTACCACTTTTGAGATTAAAATTTAGAAAAGCAACCATTTGACCATAATTGATATCACAGTTTATGAGTTTTGACATCATATTATTATTATTTTTTTAGTTTTTTTACAAGTCCCGTTCCCGTAACACAGAAATCTTTTTGTTACGCTTGTCTGTAAATATTACAATTTTAATTTTATTGTTTTGCTGGGCTTTTAACATAAACGCAAATTGTGCATTAACAAATTGCTATAGCCATCATGAGCTATTCTCCATCAACACAGCCGAACGCTACCAAGCCAGATTGGCTGAGTCGAATCGAAAATATGAAAGTCAACCGTAAAGACATGAACAAACTTATAATGAACTATCTGGTGTCTGGTATGTATTAACAATACCGTTTGTCCACTTTAACATCTTAACAACGTGAGTGAATTATGTTAAATATTGTAGAAGGATTCAAAGAAGCAGCAGAAAAATTTGAACAAGAAGCTGGTATTAGTTCTCCCCTTAAATTAAATACGTTGGGAAACCGGATTAAAGTGATCGAGTCTGTTCAGTCAGGAAAAATGCAAGAAGCTATTACACTTATCAATCAATTATACCCAGGTCTACTAGATGACGATCGTGATTTATACTTTCATTTACAGGTTAATTTTTTTTCATATCTTGTTCAAATACCTATCATAAGCTTTTAATTCATCTAGATTGCACATATATTTTTAATGAATAGGTAATGATTTGCATTCCATCTAATTAGAATAATAAGTACCAATTTATTATTTATTTTAAACTGTTGGGCCTAACAATGACCTATTTTTTGTTTAGTTTTAATATAACACTTATTAATAAAAAAAAAAAACTGATTAAAATGTAACTTGTAATAAATATTTTTTTTCATATAATGCATTATAGTTTGTAGAAAAATTAAATTAATTTGATGAAAGTTTGTCAATGATGTTTCCAATGGGCCCCTATTTTTTTTTATTTAGGTTTATTTTATATTTATAATTTATATATATATTATGTATATTTAATTTCAATCTCAATTTAAATTGTAAAACGGTATACGGTATATTGGTATATTGACTTCTATTTGGTGTACCGGTATTACCGGTAATGAAAAAAAAAAATAGTTATTTTTATTTACTATTCAATATACTGTGTTTAAAATTACATAAATTCATATTATTTATATTCTTATATTTATTTTTGAAGCAACTGCATCTAATTGAACTTATCAAAGAAGGTAACATAGAAGAAGCTCTTGTATTCGCCCAAGCTAAGCTATCAGAAGTAGGAGAGGGAAATCCTACTATACTTACAGAACTAGAAAGAACACTTGCATTATTAGCTTTCGAAGAACCTCAAAAGAGCCCATTTGCTGACCTTCTTCAAACTACACATAGACAAAAAGTAAAATATTATGTTATACAATTATATATTAATTCTAATACTTTCTTATTATGTTTTACAGGTATCTAGCGAGCTGAATGCTGCTATTTTGAGATTTCACAATCAACCAACTATTACACCTAAACTGTACAATCTTATGAAGCTAATAATGTGGGCCCAAGATGAGTTAGATAGGAAAAAAGTTAAGTTCCCTCACATGACTGATTTTGGTTCAGCTACATTGGAACCTCCTAAATGACGCACAGTTAATGAGTACGACGACGTATGTTGTGACTCTTTTTGGCTGTTTGAACATAAGGATTAAATTTTGAATATTGTTTTTTTTTTTAATATTAATTATTCATAACTACTTTCCTAATAATATTATATACATATTTAGGTATGAAGCATTATTATAAAAAAAAAATAAGAAAAACTATACATTTCAATTTATTTAATGGATTTGTTAGGTTACAACGTTTTTAAATGTATTTATTAAGTAAGTTATTAGAATACTCAGGTTTTTTTTCCAATATTTGTAAATTATGTAACATTTTACCAAAAAATATATTGTATAATTTCATTCATTAGTGTCTACTGTGTTCTATAATCTAACATTTACATACAATCTATAATATTGGTAGTAATAGTGGCTTCTGACAAAAAAATAAGCTCTATGTTTGCGTACTGAAATAGATAATTTGGACTGGTTTATTACACGATTAAAGTTGATGATAATATAAAGTTTTACATTAGTCATGGGGATACTTGGCTTGTGGCATATTAATCCATAGGAGAATCCGTATAGCAGAATTTTTTAGGTGAGCTGGTGTTTGTGATTCTATATTTAAGACTAAATCATATAATGTATTGGTTAGTGTGTTTCTATATATTATAATATATATTTATTATTTAATAGTCTATTATCCTTACAATTTTCGATTCTGAGCGGAGCGAAGAAGCTAGTGGTTCTACAATGGTGTTTATTATAATTATTTTTTTTTTATATCCTGTATACAAAATATCTACCAGAGTCCAGAAGGAGTGCTTCGATTTCAACATATATTCCTTATCTTTTAGCAAATTGAATCAAGATGGTACTTTAGAAAAGACATTTTTTGATTTTCTAAAAATTTAATGCCACATGAAAAACCACCTACAAATTGCAAAAAACCGCTAAAAATGGTATTTTAATTTTTAATTCTATATGGGTTTAAAACTAAATTATAATATATTTTCATAATATAAAAACCAACTAAAAAAGAAATGTATATATTATAATAATTATCTAAATAAGGTATTTTAATGGATTACCTATATGTGTGATGAAATGTGTATTTTAAATTAAATATTTTTATAGTATAAAGTCTAGTACCTAGTCTTTTTTTTGCGAAACAATCGATCACATCATCTGGATTGATTTAAATTTGTCTATGTAAACTACTGCACTCAAACGAGCTAGACGTGTAAAGGCATCCGTGTACTAGGAAATACGAACTTATTATTTTTCAATGCATATTTTATTCATACTCATCCGATCTGAATCCGGCCTGAGCTTTGAAAGATCACCCCGATGTACTTGGTCTGACAAATATTGTTAATAGTTTTATTTAATCTTTTCATGGTAGAAGATGTACCTATGTTCTGGTGATGATGTCGTAACTGGTAATGTAGTTCATAGTTTCAAAAGAAAATATATAATTGGAAAAAATTCATAATTTAAATGTTATCATTTTACAATAGGTCGGTAATGTATAATATTATGCTTTATAGCCGAATTCGGGTAAAAACGACATTACGGATATAGACAATACCGCTCGTCTGTTCAATAAGTTATCACCATCCATCGACAAATCGTTCGTTACTATTAAATTATATTTATAGGCAAAGCAAAATGCAAATGCCAACAAAATGTGTATTATTATTACTCTGAGGTGTATACGCACTATTATATGTTTATAATTTGTGTATGGTATAAATTCAGTGCTCGAATTTGGGGGGGTGCGCAGGGGGCCGGAGCTCCTCTACTATTTTTATTTTTTTTTTGCGTACCCCTACTATTTTTTATAACCATTGCCGATATTAAAACAATATAATTGAACTATTCGTTTTAATTTAAATGTTCAAACTAAAATAATAATAAAAGTTGCACAATTTAATATCAGAGATAAGTAAGTTTGATTATTTTGAATATTTCATAAGTGTACCAAGTACCGGAAAAAAACCGAAGATAAACAAGTCACAAGATGCACCTACGTATGAATTTGGATGTTTGTAAATTCCACACATTATACCTTTTGTGAATGTAAAGTGTACCGGTACGATTGATTTACCTGAAAATTACCACTAATTTGTGCATGAAAAATAAATTATTGGTGGAATTTAAATGTTATATAAATCGGACCAGAAAATTTTCTAAATTGTTCTAAAATTATACTAAACATCAACATATAAACAAATTTTTTTTCAGTGATAATGTGTTATAAAAAAATTATACATAGTAAAAGAAATAGTCTAACGTATAATATAATTTACTATTAAATTAAAAAAAAATTGATATCTTTTTGCCACTAAGATAGAGAATTTCAAGTTTGTCTTGCATCCTTAATTATATAATTAATTCTATAAATATTATTTTATGAAACATTTTAGGCATTCTATTTTTATTTTCTGAAACGATTTATTCTTTTATCGAAGAACAATGGACCATATTTCAAAAACTAATAAGTTTTCACGTAAAGTGAAGTTAAGGTTTAGTATATTTTGTAACTAGATTTGATCATAGTGTGCTTTGTGAGACAAAACTACTTAATATGTGCCTCGTATATTTTATTAATTTAGCTTTCGTTATTTTGTTATCCATGGACCATGAATCTAGATAACCTAACCTACAACAACAAACGTTCTAATACAGAGCCAAGTGATGTGACTAATAATCAAACGAATGTAGCAGTCTGTAAAATTTTTTTTAAATATGACCGCATGGGAACTAATTTACACTACTGTCATTATATTTTATATTATGTAATTGGAATTTTTTTTTTCCTTGAATAAATAATAATAATTATTATTATTATTATTAGAAATCGGTATTATCACAGAAAAAACTAGTAACCACAGTTGAAGGTGTCTATAAAGTCATTCTAAACTCTAAAGCTGCCCATATACACGATCAATAAAATTGCCAATTTGATAAAATTTGTCAAAATTCAAACATAAAATACTAATAAAAAAAATAGTGCATGTGTATTTTTAATATTTTTAAACTGCTACCTACTGCAACAATGTATTAGCAACTTTATATTGAATTTGCAAAATTTTTGACCAAACTAATTTTATTTTATTAAATTGTATAGAAAAAAAACTGGAAAAAATTAATAATATACAACGCCCGTAAACACCTCAAAACGAGTCGTAATATTTTGAAACTCTTATCAAGTATATAAAATGATAAAATAAACATATGGTGTAAGTTTCAAGTATCTATCGTTAATTGATTTTGAATTTTGAATTATAATTAAATAAGAAAATTGCTCCAAGAGAAATCGAGTGAATATAACTTCAAACATTCATTAAAATTTATATGACTTTCTGGTTGACATTTTTTTTTGTTAAAAGTAATAAAACTTATGAGGAATCAGGTATTAACTTTTTGAATTTTATAGATATAAAAAGAAAACTTTTATGAATTTTTAAATCGAAATAATATAGCAATTTTCGTGTTCTTAATGAATTACCTATGTAAATATTTTGACTTCACTCTCAATTTTTTTTTTGATTTCCATTAACAAAAACTTACAAGGAACCATGTTTCACATTTTTTTGACGGATTAAATATTTTTTTGATTCTGAGTGGAGCAATGAATGTATTGATTTAATTGTAATGAAGTGAAATACTATTATTAACATAGATTTATTAACATTGGTGCTTATTTTTAGGCTTTAAGCGGACAAATGTAACATGTCCTGACGTACACTACTAGGCAAAACTGATAAATGAAATTATGTTCATAGCAAGATATAATAATAATGACCATTTGTAATAAGTCCATTCTAGTTCCAAAAAAAAATTAATTAAAAAAAAATATAGAGTTTTAGTAGAGTTAAACTAGCAAATTAATTTTCTATAGTAAATTAAATACCATATCAAGTTTACTCATAAGTTAAAACTTTCATTTAAAAAAAACTATAGGTAGGTACCTATATAATATGAAAAATAATAAAACTTTTAATGGCTCTCCTGAACATTTTGGTATTTGTGACATATCATAATATATGGCCTTTAAGCCATCAACCGACTTTATGAACTAAGGGGTCATAATTAGATATTCTAGCATTTCAAAAACTAGAGAAAAAATTAAGTTTTTAAAAAAATAGTTTCCGAGAACATAGGCCCCAAAGGTTTTCATTTTCACATTTAAATATATAGATATACTTTGTATGCATATATATCCCAGTGTTGGGATTATATTAGTACTTTTTTATCTAGATAAAGATAAAAGATAACTAAATTCAAATCTATCTAGATAAAGGTTAAAGATAAATACATTTGTATTTAAATAAAAAAAAAAGATGGTTTTTTTTTTAATACATACTATAAAGTCTAACATTTGACAGTTCAGCTTAGATACTACAGTAAAAAGTGTATATCATTTTTTTGTATAGAGACGAATTTATCTAGATGGATGAATTTTTTATCTTAGATAATTATTTAGATAAAACACAACTATTTATCTATATAAGATAAAAGATAACTAAATAATTATCTAGATAAATTATCTAAATAAGTCTCAACACTGATTATATGACCCCATTTCCATCAAAATTCTTAACTATACCTATTATGCATTTAGTTTTTCAGGACTTAAAAATTATTAAAGTCAGTGACACTTTAATAACTCATAATAGTATTGTAACGGTAATTTGAAAACCTACAATATAAAACAAATACCTCGGGTATATTTTATTAAACAGGTTTATTAATTGATGCAAAGAAATACACTTACCTAATACATAATATGTTACACAAATGGAATACATTATACATTAGATAATTAAACTTGAAGATCTTTTCCTCTTCAAGTCGGGCGGGCAACAGGCTTGAGGACGACGGCCCTCAAACTCTCCTCCGTTATGGAAACACGGAAGTAAGTTTTTGCAATTCTTTCCCCTAGGCTCCACGCACGGATGCGCACGGCTTCTGCACAGCAGGGTTACTGTGGAACGCTGCCGTGCCGGTCGTCATCGGTGGCGGTGGAGGAGGCGGCCAAAAATTTTCCGAGGTTACAGCAGGAGGCGGAGGAGGCAGCCAAAAATGTTCTGAGGTTACAGCATGATACGGAGAAGTCAGCCAAAAATGTTCTGAGGTTACAGCACGATACGGAGGAGATGGCCAAAAGTATTCCGAGGTTACAGCAGGAGGCGGAGGAGGCAGCCAAAAATGTTCCGAGGTTACAACAGGAGGCGGAGGAGGCAGCCAAAAATGTTCTGGGGTTACAGCACGATACGGAGGAGATGGCCAAAAGTTTTCCGAGGTTACAGCAGGAGGCGGAGGAGGCAGCCAAGAGTTTTCCGAGGTTACAGCAGGAGACGGAGGAGGTGGCCAAAAGTTTTCCGAGGTTACTGCAGAAGGTGGAGGAGGCGGCCAAAAATTTTCCGAGGTTACCACAGGAGGCGGGCCTGCGACGGGTGTAAAGGATGTCGACGTCGTCGGCGAGGTAGGTTTGTGGCATTGCGCGTTCAGAGTGTCCAGCTCGAAAAGATTTTCTCCTGCCGACACATCATTTTCAGCGGCAGCCCCCGAGCTCGCCAACCTTAACATCAGCATGTGGTTTATTCCAACGATATCTATCGAGTTTTTCGTCACATCACCTACACGGGCACACGTCATTGGTACTTTATTATCTATTAACCGTTATTTTTCTATATTATATTACTTTCAAGAACCGAGACCCTTGTCTTCAGTCTACGTAGCTTGCAGCAGTCGGGTTTTTCGGTGTTTGCTAAACGAACGGAAACGACTAATGTATTACACTGTTATGGGTATAGTCAGGTCGATATATTATATAATATTACTTTCCGTGGACGGCATCTCTGTATTTTTCAGCAGATCGGAGGTCAAACAGTTCAAATCTTTTTTAAGACTAGATACTTCTAATTTCAGGCTGTCGATCGATAGACGCTGATCGTCGGCCGTCTGTTGGAAGGTAGACATTGCGTCGACCACGTGATGTTTCAACTCCAAACAATTAATTTCAACCACTTTAAAGTTATGCTGAAAATCAAATTAAAACTGTTTATCAGCACTGCGATATTATATGATTACTAGGGCCCGGATTTTTATGCAAAAATGTTTGTTAAATATGCACATATATATGCACTCAAAAATTCATAAATATGCAAATAATATGCAAAAAAATTTATTGTTTAAAAATACAGAATTTAAAAAAAAATTAAAAAATATAGTATTAAGTGAAAAAAAAATACAATTTAAATATCATTATTTAAAATGTGTATAAAGCATAAAAATTTGTATTAATTATTGAAGAATACCAACACGATGTAACAAAATGTGCTTTTAAATTATCAAATTGAAAAATTAATAATAAGTTGTAAAATAATGTAATAAAAGTAATAATAGGTTGTGGGGGTAAACTTAAGTTTGGACATTTTTCTTTAAAAGTACCTACACGACTAGGTGCTTTTAAAAAAAACTTTTTTTGTGTTAGATATCAACAAATCAACATTTGAGAATTCATCCCCAATAGCTTCTGATAATCTATGAAGCCCATGGGCCATACAAGTAATATGGATTAGTTTAGGATAAAATACCTTAAGCGCATGTCCAGATTTTACCATATTATAAGGAGCGGCGTCTGTGACATACAATAACACTTTGTCATGCAATACTTTTTCAGACCATAATATATACTCATTGAATCATTGAATAATTTAATAATATAATGAATTATATTTGTCAGGAACGTCGGCGATCGCGCAAAATCGGCATATATATCAAACTTTGAGTAAAATTTAAAATATTTTATCAATTATTTATTAAATATGCACATTTTATGTAATTACCCCGAAATATGCAATTATTATGCATTTTGATGCAAATATGCAAAAATATGCAAAATAAAAAATTAACAGTAGACTCTACGTTTTACGAAACGTCAAGATATTTAATCAGAATTATTATACGTCAAATGTAGAAGAATATGCATTTGCATACAAATCCGGGCCCTAATGATTACATTCGATTGTTCTAAAGCCGTTCTTAGTTTCATACTTGTAGGTCCTCGAACGCCTGATTTTCCACCGCGTCCATATACAGTTCTAGAAAGTATGGAATTATATGAAAATAGTTTTAATTAAAAAATTATACTCAATATCATATGGAAAACTGACCTCCTATTGATTTTACAAGCTTTGTGTTATCGTCCAAGTTTTCATCGGGCATGGTCCGAAAACTTTTCGAATCCTCATCGGACATGGTCCGAAAACTTACAGATTCCACATTAGACTGCATGGATAGACAACTTACGAATTCATCATCGGACACGGACCGAAAACTTTTCGATTCCGCATCGAAAAACTTATCGTTTTCGTCCTATTAATATAAATAGGTACTATATTATTATATATTCGCATTACTTGTAAATTTAAAATCATATCGAAGTTGAATTAATATTTTATTAACCTATTTAATGTGTAAAATTATCAGTAGGTCCATAGTTGAAGTTTACTCATATTTATGATTTGTAAATTTAACTATTAATATGGGTTGCAATTTACCAACATAATATATTATGTGACTTGTAATTATTTCATATTAGTTACAGATTAATAATTAAATGTGCAAGTTAAAAGTTAGTGAAGTTCAACTGTTACTAATACTTAAATTTACAAACTCATAAGTGTAAATTGGCACTTACGGTAAATATTTGTACCTACCTATACCCTATACGGCTATACCTATCTAAGCTAAAAAGTATGAAAATCCTTCTGTGCAAAACCTGATATGTCCCCTTTTTCAAAAAAGTATTTTTACTGTGGTTTCCTGATCAGGAAATAAAGCTACACATTTCGGTCTAACAAACCGTTATGTCCGATTATTAGTTACGGAGATAATATAAGCAAAATGGACTTACCAGGTTATTACATTTCAGAGCAAGAACCTGGAGGTATGCACTCCAGACACACAAGGTTTTTGCTCCGAAACTAATTAATATGTTGGTTATACTAAAAATGACAGATATTATAGAATTTAAACGTTTATTGTTATAATATAAACCTACATGATATTATGTATTATATTTGGTTTACCTCCAAGAAGTCTTCCATTTTTGTCGTTCCATATCCATGGGTACCTAGTTGGTTTTTTTCTCCTTGACAATAGGAAATACACTCCTGCTATCCCGAAGGAAGCGAACGAAATTCCTATCAAAAATTCTTTCGAAAAAGACATATTTTTACAGCAAATAGAGTTCATCAACGCGTACAACAAAATAATATTTTATTATGATTTACGAGTACTCTGTTTATTAGTAAACCGTAGTGATGTAAATAAATAACATTAATATCGTGATATATTTTGATATTTAAACAATGCAGCCAGATAATAAATTATTATACAATATTATAGTTTAATTTATAGTCTTAGATTTTTATCGAACTGCGTTCACAAATTATCGTTATGAAAATCTGAATATGCATAAATTACATCCATGCAATCGCATCCCGGGCCCGAACTGAGTAGGGCCTCATGCCCCATATATACATTTGGAAAAATAATTTAAATAAACTGCTTAAGACTTTCTAAGGTACATATATGGAGCAGTAGCTTTCCCACCCCTCCCCAGATCTCCGGACCTTATGCTAATAGATTTTTTTTGTAGGGATATTTGACTATTCAACTATTTCAACTCCACTTTTAAATGTTCAAGACCTCAAAGATAAAATTGTAAATAGTTGTGCCGCACTTCAAAGATAACCAATTTCAGCAGCTACTCAAAAGGAAGTAATGCGCCGTCTGCAGTCACGCATGGAGAATGATGTGAGCTAAATTTTGAAAAAAAATTAAGATAGATATTGGTATTAATTAGTTTTTTTAATAAATCATAGAAATCATAAATGTTGTGTCAATTGGTTCACATTTTTCCTAGTACTTAAAAAAAAATTAAGGTAAACGTATACTTCAAGTCAAATTAAGTATTAAAAATAATTTATTTAAGAGGACGTCGCATATCTATATTTTATCTCCCACTTACACACGTATGACATACCAAATTAACGTTCACCAGTTTCAACAGTGTGCTGTTTTGATACTAGATTGAATAATTTACCTATTATCAAAATCTTAGGTAAGATCCATTATCTGTGTTCTCTCGTCGATTTTCCCATATATAGATCAAAAAGCGTCAAAATATTTTCAAAATTGTATGGTGTATAGGAACTGCTAATATAAACATTCAGTGAAATTTTCATGTATTTACAGTTATTCGTTTTTGAATTACAACAAAATAAGAATATCGCTACATGAGAAATGGAGTGAATATCCAATGTTGTAAAAATTTGAATTTCAAAAGCTCATAAAAATTTAATTTCACTTTCTTATAGACATATTTTTTTTGATGAAGATAGATAATCTTATAACGAATCTTGTATTACATTTTAAAATCTTAGATTTAAAAAGAAAAATTTTTACGAATTCTTAACTCAAAATAATTTGCTAATTTTCGTGATTTTTCCATATTTTGTCAATTTTTGAACTTTAAATGCTTATGAAAAAAAAACTGTGACTAAGGATTTTTAAAATTTTTCATCTGCCTTTGAAAAAATAAACTAGGAGCCTTCTATTCAATTTTCAAGCTTATTTAACCAACAAATAAAATTGTATTGATATTTTTAGAAAAAAAACTAAAAGAAAATGGAAAATGAAAATATCCCTACACAGTTCAAAATAAATCAAAATATTTTAAAAAAGTTATCGTGTATAGGAAATGCAAATATAAACAATCAGTGAAAATTTCATGTATCTACGGTCATTTATTTTAAAGTTACACCAAAAACCAAATTCAATTTTGCGTAAAAATTCCGGTTTTTCCTTAATTTTTCTTTTGTTTTTCTTAGCGCTTTTGAAAATTTCTGTGAATTTTAAATTTTGACCTCCCTCATGCACCAACGATATTCACTTTCCAATCAAACAAGATACTGAAGTTGAAAATCGAAGCATTATTTCGACTACTTATCGTGTACACAGACACGAATAAAATAAAAAAATAAAAAAAACACACATCATTGTAAAATCAATACATTCATCGTTCCACTCAGAATCTAAAATTTACGAATTAACATTGATTATATTTTTTAGTTTGGTTCATATAATATATAGAATATAATATATTTCTATCGTTTATAAGTCCATTTCCACACCATAGACCCTTTAGTGCTTAGATTATAATATTATAGACTGTATAACACGAATTATTAATTAAGATATCTTAATTCGTGCCGTACAATAATATGATCTAAGCATTATAAACTAGCATTATAAACTAGCATTATAAACTAGCATTATAAACTTGACAAAGAAAATTTGTTGGACTATTAAAGTATTAACCAATAACCATACACTAGTTATTCGGTATACGAATACAGTGATTATCACAACTTGGTCTTATTGTCCAATGATAACGTTGTGAGTTGCTACTCGATGATAACAATGTTTGGATTAGGAAGTTGAAACACGAAGCACCAATTACCAATTACTACTATAGGTAGACAGTAGTATAACATTTCAAATTTGAAATTTGAACACTGGGAAACTAGTTACACTTAACGTACAAAATTAATATTTGAGACCTTCATATGTAAGATTGTGTTAAAGAATATTTTGTTTTATTTTTATTGTGTTTTTACACAATTCGTATTCATATGTGTCTGTGAAACTGATTGGTATTTAACCATGTCAAAACGACTATCTACTGAAATCGAGATTTCCGCCAAAGGTATACTTGTTTGAATAGAATTCCAGGTCACAAAATAGAAAATTTATTTTTTGTTTTTATTTCATAGATGGGGTCGACAAAGAAAAACAACAGCCGGACAAGAAACAAAAATTATCATTTGGATTGATGAAAAAAACTCTTCCAGCAAAAACCGGCATTAAAATAACTCTTAATAGCCCAGCCACTGTAAGTATATTTTAAAATATGAAACATTTTAAATACCCAAAATTAAACAAATGTTCAAAATCTTAGAATTTTTTATTTCAATATATATTTTGATAGTAATATTATGATGTCTGCTTGTAGAAAGAACCACCTATTTTACCCAAACCCGCATCAAAGTCTGTTGCGGCAGTATTTGGTGATGTTAGTGATGACGAACCTGAAGAAATGCCTAAAGAAGCTAGAATGCGTATGAGAAATATTGGTAGGGATACTCCAACATCAGCCGGACCCAATTCATTTGGCAAGACTAAACATGGTTTCTGCAATACTGGTAAACTTATGGAGAAGACACTTAAAGAGGCAACAAACGCACTAATTGATGATAAAAAATAATCGTTATTTTTTTTCACAATTATTGTGTATATTGTATTTAAGTTTTTTGCACAGAATTAGTTTTAAATATTAATTAAGATAACCATGACTGTGTATTTATAAAGAATTATTGAAAGGATATTTATCCCTTAGTCCAATCAATTGACCTTTTTTTTATTTATGTTACTGTAAAGTGTATAAAATATACAAGCAATACATATAACATTATATATTATTTTTATAAGTATTTAAATAACATTCATACTGTATTCACCAAGTAAAAATATCCATCCTAGTTATGTGAAAAAAATTTTTTTCTCTGAATAATGTAATGTGTTTTTCTATCAAATCGATTTTACTATTAAACATTTAAAACTAATGGAAAATATTAAAATAACTGGGTACTTACTAAATATCACTAAAAACAAATTTATCCTTCTAACAATTATTAGGTAATATGCATTCAAATGATACAATGCAGTCAGGCGCGTCCCTTTAAATATATTTATTATATATTTAAAGACTTGACACCTAACGGACAGCAGATCGTTACCAACTTATGATTATTAGTGATCTATTCTATAATATTGTACAATTTCGATTGAAGTTTGTTATAACTAGGTACTTATTTATGTTTTTAACGCATATTTAATATTTTTTTATAAGAAAACAAAATATATTAATATTTTGTAAATAGTCTACATGTTTTAAATTTGCCCTTTAGTCTGCGCCTGCCCGCAGTAACCTTAAAGCAAATAGTTTTTTTTAGAAAATGTTATGTAGTCAACGATTATAATACATGGTATATTGTCAGCTAATTGATATATTTCTCTAAAAGTACTAATTTGTGTTGATCACCTTGCTTATGAAAATAATCTGACCATCCTAATTGTATTACATCATGATCTTTTTATTCATTGTAATAACGTACAATTTGGACATCAAAACGTATTGCCATTTGTATTGTTGAACCTTAAGTTTATATACTTAACTTGTCTCAAGACATAGTTAATAAGTAGCCATGTTTGACTGTTTGGGATTAGATAATTGTTTTTAATGCTTTTTCAATTAGAAAAGTACCTTAAACTAAATATACACCAATCTATAAAATTGTAATTCATTCTTGAAGAGATTTAAATTACAGTTATTATGATAGTAAAAAAAATAGTGAGAGTAATAACTAGATTACAAAAGTAAAGACGTTAAGTAGATCCAAATTATTGATTACAATTTATGTGGGAATATATAAATTGATTATTAAGTAACGGCGTAATGTGACCTCAAGATTTATTATTTCAGTATCTATAGTCTACACTACACAAGTATTTATTTTGATACCAGTATCTTTTCATAATATGGTTAAAGGGGGAAGCAAATTTAGTTTTATGAACATGTCTCTACTTTTATAAAAAAAATATCAATAAGATTTCAGTATACTAAACAAGAAACCAATCATAACAGTAGAGCACTAGAGCGTATAATATAGGATTTGGAACACAAAATATATTGGTAAACATTTTTTGAAAATTTTAGGTTAGACCGTTTAATTCAATCAGCTTACAGTTTTTTTAAATAATATCAGTTTAAATATAGCTTCGTATCAGAGGCCGAAGGGGTCAATTTATTAATTCAATATATTTTTTAATTTTTTTTACCATAACCATTAACCTTTGAATTTAAATTTTAAATGTGTTACAAAAAATAATAAAACTGACTACTGTATTGAATATTATACACATATTTATGTTCAATAAGAGCCGCTTATGGACAACACTTTTGAACCAAGGTGAAATGTGTCAATTAACTGATTGGCTACCATGTACTTAGGACCAGCCCCCTGCCCAAGACATTTTGTTTCAATGATTTCAATAATTTAATCGTATCAATTATCCATGTTCCATTTTTTTTTTTTTTTTATCTTAAGCGGCTTCTACTGTAACTATATGTGCAATTAACATATTTATTAGAAAATATTGCTTTGGATCAGAGGTCTCCAACCTACGGCCCGCCATGGGTTTTTTGTTGGCCCGCCAAGCTAATTAGTGTTTATTTTTTTATTGAATTAATTATATAAAATTAATTTATTATTTTTTTTCTTATGGTGTTATTCGTAACAGTTTATAATAGTCATTTATACCTATATACTAAGTACTAACACTAACTTATTATTAGGGTTCGAGTTTAAAGGCAATATAATCAGTAAAAAAAGCATTCAAAATGTCAAAAAAGGCAACTACAAAAAAAATGTACTAAACAATTTAACAGTTTAACTAGTGTATTAAAAAAAAAATCACTATTATATAGTTAGATAAACTGTCTTCAGTATAATGTTGACATTTTGGGCTTAAAATATTTTTGTACATAGAAATTGTAATCAGGGCGGACTGACAAACAATTTTGAATCTATAGTAAGTATACATGCATTATGAACATATTTTAATCTATAGATAGGTGGCATGGGTACTTTTATAAACGTTAAATTAACTGGTCATACCAAATACTCAATTAAGTATTTAGCAATAAAATATCGACTTAAATAAAACACAAATAATTAACAGCCGACAATGGAGCCTTCAGAAAATCTTATCGATTTGTACAGTTTATACGTATGTTGTGTGTTAAACTAATAAATCAAATTTATCAGCAAAAAAGGCAAAATAAAATATGTTCATCATCTCACATATTAAATGACACTCATTTTTATATAAAAATTATTTCTCTATTATTATAAATAAAAAAAGGCTTTTGCCTTCAAATCCGAACCTTACAATATAAAAACTTGTTATAAAATAAACAAACATTAATTTTTCTAAATAAATCTTATCGATTCTTCAATTTCTTAACACATTCGTTGCGTTTGTCGGCTATATCTGACGGACCAGTTTTTTCACGGTGCGTCTGTCGGGTATAGCTGACATAAGGTCCTTTGAATTATATGTGCTATAAAATAGAGACGCACTAGTCATGTTTTTTTTTTACACACGCATCTGCATACAAATTTCTTGTTATTTCAGTCCAATCCATTTATAAATAACTTATTTTATTGATTCTTCTGACACTAATTAAAATTTCCGAATTGGTGGCACGCTCCTAGCGAACATCGATATATTTTGTGACGCATCTAACGTGTCCCAACTAATTATTTGACGCAGTAAATGTGTTAACTGATCTATTCCTCTAAAAATGTTGGCCCGCTGTAAAATGGTTGGAGACCCCGGCTTTGGATTAATCATAAGTCTTGTCAATTATTTTTGTAAAATGTACCTAACTTGTTAAATTAAGCGGACATTTCACACATATGTGGTGTTTGTCTAACATAATTCATACAAAATAGAATTTGTGTATACAGCAGAATTAATTTTGTTATTAATTTTAATTTAACAGTTCCACTATAGAATTTCAATGTAAAAACACTATTTAGGATCTCATAGGTTGTTATTGATATTTAAGTTGTGAGCATAATATATTAGTTATAATTACGGCTGAGAACTTCTAGTACTTAATAACCTTAAAATATGTATACAAGTGTGCAAGAACAATAAATAAAAGCTTCAAACAAATGTTAATACATAAAATATGGCAACTAAATTATATTAATAAGAAAAATGATACACAATCAACTGTAACAGACAATGTTTACTCGAATCAGATGTTATCAGCCAGAGTGAATAGCCCAACCAATATTATTATTATATAGGTACACATTAAGAATATAATATTTTTATACAGATTGTAGTTGTTATATTATCATTATATCAATATGTTCCAAATGTGTAACTTAACGCTATTGATTTGACAAGTATAATCAAATTAATTAAATGCATTAACAAAATATGCAAAATATTTTTTAAATATAACCGGCTTGTTATGAAATATATATTTTATACTACACTCAAATTGTCCTGTACTCCTGTGACCTATTTAGACAAATATGAAAAACTAGAAGTCCCCAGCCCTATACTCACATTTAATAAAAATAATAATTATAATGATATTATAAATATAAATAAAAGCCTAAAAAAGGCCACGACATTTCACTAGAGGAGAAGAATCAAATGATTTATAAATATTAAACAAGTTAACTTTCCAATCAAATGATAACATCTAAAATAATGAAAATATTTGTGGTACCCACTGAATTACCATTTACTAACTACTTTGACGGAAGGTTAGGTTGACATAAATACAATATTTTATTTTTGTCAGAATCAAAATGTATTTTTATATCTTAAATGAAGGTATAATATAATTTTGTATCCCCATAATACAATGGGAATTACGTTTTCCTTTGAGGTTGTCCTCCTTGGCGATTATTATCCTGAAACACAAACCATAAACCGTAAGTGCCAGATGAACATAAACACAATAGTGCAAATAAAGTTTTGTTGAAGAATAGTATATGTTTGTTTGTTAAAAATTATAGGTAAATATGATTTTACTCATGTTCTACAGTCGAAAGTGGTTAACTCAATGTTGTAGACTGGGCAAAAATTTGAGACAATTTTGAGTTAACCATGTTCAACTGTACATCAAAACATGTAGGTTATTAAACAATAGAATGTTAAAGTTTATAAACATATGAGCAATTTTAAGTTAATCTTACCCCACGTGGGAAGTTACGGCTTGGTGGTGTCCTGATACGACGGTCAGCCTTTGATCTGTTCCTGACCACTTTGGAATGGATGGCGCAAGAAACGCAGTAGTGCAATTTAGCGTATAATTTCGGCAATTGGTATGCTACAACAAAAACATAATCGTCAGCGGAAATTCAAATAATTTTTTGGACATTAGTTTTATGAAACATACATGTATATACACTAGCATCAGTTATATCACGGACAGCGGCAGCTTCGACAATATTACGAATAACAAATTTCTTGATTGCCTTGTCTTTGGGCACGCAGCGAGCGCAATTGGTGCAACGCACAGGCTTGACGTGACCACGACCGTGTTTTGATCTTCCTCCATTACGGCGCTTGCGAGTCTGTAGTTGAAAATTTAACAATATTTAATATGAGTTGTGTCTTGTAAAACCAATAATAAAACAATCAATGCAGTGGCACATTATACAAAAGAGAACACATGGACAATTAAACTATTCATATTTTATTCGCGATACAACCGACCACTTATAAAAAGTCCGTGTTAAAATTTAACAACCATGTAATTGTAACAATTGGATTTAAGTTTACTTACCATTTCGACGTCGATTTAAATCTGAAAAACTTTAAAGATAAATGAAAGACGAAAGAAACTCGTCAGCTTGAAAGGACTAGAAATCGAAATATCGAATGGACGACATAACACATAACCTCACTAAAGTAAAAATTGGCTGATTTGGTAGCGATGGATTACATATTTCATGGAAGAAAAACTCATTTTTGTATTTTAATAGAAAATTTAAACATAATAATTTTCCGTGTACATGGTTGGCCTGTATTTGGCGCTGTAAATGATTTTGAACCACCAAATATGATAATAAAGAATTCAAATTAATAAAAATAATAAATAAATAAATAATTTACTATAGAAGCAGTATGCGTATGGAGCGTCCGAGTGCGCAAAGCCTCAGCAAGAACACAATGTTTAATATTCATTTTTTAAATTATGAATTTATATCAAATAGGTGCTAGCTCTGCCACTCTGATATGGTACCCATTGTAGACCAATTAATGAGGGTGAATAGGTTGTGAATTGTGATGATACTATGATAGATCAATATTAAATAAGGCCATGTTATGAAGAAAAGTGACTTGGAAAATTGGCTTTGGAAATTAATGTTAAATGTCTCCGTCTTACAAGTGCGTAACATAACAAATTGTACGCTCAGCAGAACACTTGTTGCTCCTTTAGTTTAAACATTAGAGTGAATTGACCTATTTGACCTCGTATAAAATTTAAAGGTAAGAATATTATATAGACGACCTCATGGGCTGTTTATTATATTTTAACTTTAAAGCGAGTTATGAGTATTTTAAAATTGTAAATTGTTTGTAGAAGGCGTGAGGCGTTCTCTTAAAAGATTTTTGGACAAAAAAAAATAACCACACGAAACTAGCTCTCACCGTGTTATATGTAAGGTATTCATAAAAAAAAGCCCCGGAAAAATTTATTTTTATTAGTTTATTATTCTTTATTAGTTATTTTTTAATTCAAATTATTCTAGATGTCATTTTTTTTTCTTTATAACTAATTAATAAAATACTTAAATATAGCAAGTAGTATAATAGTTTAGGTGCAATTCTACCTAGTTATCAACTAACAACTTAACTTAGGTAGGTACTAGATTATACTGTGTGTTTAATATACTACTGTCTATTCTGTATATCTCTTTTTGATTTTTTGAGCATTGAGTATGAACTAGGTACTTATGAGGAAATTTGTATTAGTTGTATTAAATTTTCAAGGTTTAAGATTCACATTTTTATATAGAATATGAACTAAATAAATTTTAAATGTCTATAAATAGTATCAACACTTGAGGGAGGTGCAATAGTTGAGAGTTGAAGCACCTACCATTCCAAATATTGAACTTTGTTTTATTATAATAATTACTTTGATTTCAAGTATAACGTATTGAACTAAACGTATTCATTGTAAACTACTACCAAAAAATAGGTTAAATTTGTTTTCACCCCGAAGTTGTGTTGTTCATGATAAGTAGGTAGGTATACATAATGAGCTCTATTATCAAAGTTATCAACATAGCACTTACCATAAAAAAATTCTAGATCCACCGCTATCTATAAATAACTCAAAACGAGTAAAAATATTTTGAAAATTGTATTATGTATAAAAAATGATAAAAATATAAAAATTTGGTGAAAATTTCAAATATCTACAGCTGATTGTTTTTGAATTAGCCATTAGGTACAGCTAAATAAGAAAATCGTTCGATGCTAGAATACAATTTGACTTTCAGGTAAACTTTTTAGTTTTTTTTCGTTTTTAATTAATGGTTGGAAAATGTAAGAGGAATATTTTATTACATTTTCAAGTTTTTTTTGCCGAGCGAAATAGTATATTGTGTGGCAAGGGCGGGAAGTGAGACTACATTATTTCGACTGCTTTTCGTGAACACAGACACAAAAAAAAATAAAAAACACATAATATTGTTAAATTTATGGTAGTTTCTTACAATCTATATAGGTATAGATTTAGATATAATACCTACAAAGTTCTAATTTGTAATCATATTATATTATCATCATTAGATAATTATGTACCAATAATATTCTATATCCTTTGGTAAAATATTGATATTTATACATTATTGTAGGCATGTAAGTAGGTATATGTTTAAATATAATTCATTATTTACATAATTGTATACTTAATAGTTAATATGTAGTATAACATTGAATATTTGAATATTTAGGTATTGTTCTTCGGTATTACAGTATAAAACAAAAAGTAATATCTAAAATAAACACCAAATATTTCTTTTTATCGTTCGTTCTTATGACGCCCTCATAAATGCATGGATGCCCCACGCCGTAGGGCACTTGCCTCCTTTAGATGGCTGTACGACCTATATCCGGCTATTCCTATATATACCATATAGCTATTGTTATTATTTTAGATTCTGAGTGAAACGATGAATGTATTGATTTTACAATGATGTGTGTTTTTTTATTTTTTTTTTTATTTTTTTTTATTTTTTTTTATTTTTTTTTATTTTTTTTTATTTTTTTATTTTTGTGTCTGTCATCACGTTTTAGGACAGTAAAAGTGCTTGGATTTTCTTCATCAGTAGCTTTTCTGATAGGAAAGTGAATCTAGTTGGTACTTTGGGGGGTCAAAAGTATAAATTTCCCAGTAGTTTTCACAAGCGCCGGGAAAAACAACATAAAAATTAAGGAAAAACGGGAATTTTTACGCAAAATTGGTTTTCCAAAAAATCGATTTTGGTTTTTGGTGTAACTCTGAAACAAATGAACGTATATACATGAAATTTTCACTGGTTGTTTATATTTGCATTTTCTATACACGATAACATTTTCAAAATATTTTGATTTATTTGAACTGTTTAGGGACATTTTCATTTTCCATTTTTTTTAGTTTTTTTTCTAAAAATATCAATAAAATTTTATTTGTTGGTTGCGAAAGCTTGAAAATTTAATAGAAGGCTCCTAATATATTGCTTCAAAGGCAGATGAAAAATATTAAAAATCCTTAGTCACAATTTTTTTTTATAAGCATTTAAAGTTCAAAAATTGACAAAATATGGGAAAATCACGAAAATTAGCAAATTATTTTGAGTTAAGAATTCGTAAAAATTTTTCTTTTTAAATCTAAGATTTGAAAATTAAACACAAGATTCCTTATAAGTTTGTCTACCTTTATCAAAAGAAAAATGTTTATAAGAAAGTCAAATTAAATTTTTATGAGCGTTTGAAATTCAAATTTTTACAACATTGAATATTCACTCGATTTCCCATGTAGCGATTTCCTTATTTTGTTGTAATTCAAAAACAAATAACTGTAGATACATGAACATTTCACTGAATGTTTAAATTAGCATTTTCTATACACCATACAATTTTGAAAATATTTTGACTCTTTTTGAGCTGTTTATGGACATTTACAGCTTTCAATTTTTTTTAGTTTTTTTTTCTATAAATATCAATAAAGTTTTATCTGTTGGGCCAAAAAGTGTAAAAATTTAATACAAGGCTCCTGATATATTTTTATAATATCAGTTGAAAAATATTAAAAATACATAGGCACAGTTTTTTTTTATAAGCATTTAAAGATCAAATTTTGACAAAATTTATCAAAATCTCGAAAATTATCAATCATTGTAATTAATAAATTATAAAATGTTCAGTTTTTATAGCTAAGGATTGCAAATTCAACACAAAGGTTCTCGTAAATAGTTCATACTGTAACCAAAAAATCTAAAAATATATGAACACAGTTATTTTTTACAGACATTTTAAATACAAATTTGGACGAAATTTCATATTAAAAAACCTAGAATAACTATTTTAGTTATTTTGTTGTGATTGAATAATATTATTCGTGGATACTTGAAACTTCTAAAGTGTACTTTTATATATCTATGATAGTATCACGGTTTTTGTTGATGTATAACGCGTTATAAGTACCTAATGGATATTTTGATATGATTAATTTGGAATTTATTATAGGTACCCATTATAGGTCAATTTTTTGTTTAATACCATAGATATGTATATAATATGTCTTATACATAGACTGACATACCGTCTGCGCTCAGAATCGTTTTTCTTATACAATGATATTATATCGTTGAATTCAATTTAATATCATTCATTATACAGTGACCCACTTGTAACCTACTGTACAGCAGAGCGACACCCACTTGCCCACCTTTTTTTATTTCTTCTGTATGAAAAGTTATTATAGACTAGTATAGTCTAGTATGGTCTACTAGTATGCTCCTTACTTAGTATGAACCTCTCTAGAGCTCTAGGCGTGAGCCGTGGGAATGCTGGGCATCCCTCGTACTCTGTAGAGTTATCATAATCTTAGTTTTTGTTGTAAAAGTTTTGATTAGAATCATAAATAATAAGATAGTTCATAGCATAGACACCTATATATAGGTATATTCAAATACATACATAGGCGCAACTACAGACCAAACACTGGGGGTGCTAAAATTATGTAGATAACACAGACCCGACACCGCCAAATAACATACTTCGATTTTATAATTACTATAATCATTCCTAAAAGCACCGTAAACACATAAGAACACTAATATTTAAGTAAATCAACAGTAATATACCTGATAAATACATAAGGTATATTATATTATTTAGGTGATAAAAATAGTAACCTGGAAGTATAAACGGATACAAAATGTGGTCAAGTGGGTACCGCTTTGCTCATTGCTGTACAGTAGTTGTTGAGCATGTCCTTGGAATGGATGTGTTAGGTATATTTTAATTAAATTTGAAAAATTTTCTCATTGCTATAAATAGTTCATAAAGAGTCGAAATTGTTTGAAGAATTTACGATGCATAGAAAATGCTAATATAAATAATTGGTGAACATTTCAAGAGTTTAGGGTTATTCATTTTGGAAATACAACAAAATCTAAAAAATCGATTAATGGGAATTCAATTTACCGCATTATAAGTTCAAACACTCATAAAAAATTAATGTTCTGTTTGAGGATACCGTTTTTTTTATATGTAGAAAAACTTATGTGAAATCTGTTAACATTTTTAATCTTAGCTATGAAAAAAAAATATTTTATGAATTTCTAACTGAAAAATAATTAAAAATATTTGAAAACTTTTCATTAGTATAAATAGCTCAAAAAGAGTCAAAATTGTTTTAACATTTGGTAAAAATTTCAAGTATCTATGTTTATTTGTTTTTAAATTAAAACAAAATATCAAAAATTGATAGATGAAAATTCGTTAATTTACTGATAAAAATTTATAATTCAATGTTGTACACATTTTAGATTCAAACGCTCATAAAAATGTATGTTATTTTCCAGTAAACTTTTTTTTTTGTTTAAGGTAGGACCAATTGTGAGGATGTTCATCAACATTTATAATTTTAGGTATGAAAGGAAAAACTTTTATAAATTTCTAACTGAAAAATTTGTTGAAAATTTTCTAAATTCTAATATTTGATAGGTATACTTTTGTCCTTTAATCATTACAAACAATTATTTGTGTTTCTGCTAAAAACGAATAAATAAAAAAAAACATTACATAAAACTAAAAAAACTACTTTTACATATGATTTTTCAATTTTTAGTGTTTTTGAACTGGGGGTGCTGAAGTACCCCCAAGCACCCCCCATAGTTGCGCGTATGAATACATATAGTTCATAGATATTTAGTCATGGTTTATAATATCTTAGTTTATGAATTATGATTAGAATTTATGGCGAACATTTTTTATTTTTTATTTTTTCTTATAAAAATATTGGGAGTTGAGACAATATCAAATATTAATTTTATTTCATAATTATATTATCACAGGCCAATATTTCATAATCACCACAGGGCACATATAGGTAACTATATATAATAAATCAGATTGCTAACTCATGATAATAGTTTAAGTACAAATCAGCCATTTTCGTGAGAATTACGCGTTTTGTCACAGAATTTTCTTCCATCTGCGCTACTGCTTATTTGAGTTATTTCCATATATACCTACTGCAACTATCGAAAATAAAATAATTTTGATTTATTAATTATTAGATTAACATTGTTATTTGTTTGTGATTATTCATTATTAGAGGTATACTTATACTGTTATTTTATTGGAATAAAATCACAATACAAACTTTTAAAATTAAAATATATAAAACCAAAATAAAATTAATGCATGTTAATTTTTTTTTCAAATTTAGATATTATGTCATGAATACTAATCTAGCCCCAGTCCCTATGAACATCACCGATTTAACGTATCAGGTACCTTTAAATACCTAATATATAAACCTATATGTTATAAAACAAATCATGATTAAAATACACTATTTATAGTTATAATTTTATTAACATGATATAAATTAATAAATTAACAAAATATAATGTATATTGCACTGTATAACTATTTAAGATATAAAAATGTAAAAAAATCTTATAATAAATTGTAACCCTTATAATTAATTTTTTATTGAAATATAAACATTTTTAGATAACTTTGGCACGTTTTGATCATACAATACTTTCCATGTTGTTGTTGTCAGGTAATACACTTAATGATTTTGGCATTTTACTGTTTTCTATGACAGGTACAGTGCCATTTTCCATTAAATCTAAAATCATAAAAATGTATGAACCATCTTAATATCAGATACCATGTTTTTAGTTATTGTACATAAGTCCATAACATAGGTGTATATTGTGTGTAGGAGTAAGATATTTCGATACACTATATTAATATACACTCTATTAATTTGTCACTAATATAAAATAATATAGCTGTGTGTTGTGTTTCAATAGGTACGGTAAATATAAGCTGTAAACTGCAGTGCATTTTGTAAAACTGTCTAAAAAAAGTTCCGTTGAAAGTTTGTTCCAAGTATAATTTTTAGAATTTGGAGAACACAAATAGTATAGGTAGGTAGTAGGTACTCATGACAATATAAGTATATAAGTATTTGAATAGGCATCATATGTTATAACATTAAGCTATAAACTTATATCATATACCATTTATGGAGCCATAGCGTATTACATCAATACAAAAAAACGTTGAGATATCAGCGACAAGTCACCGGATTAGGTGGTCGATATGCGCATGAGCAACGCGACTTCTCGCATATTTATCCACAGATACCTATTGTACTTATGGATGCGAGGAGTTGCATCTCTCTTGCGCACATCAATCACCTAATTCAGTGACTCGTTGCTACATCGGTAACAAAATCATACGCTGTAGGTACCTACATTCGTAGTATATCGTATATGATCTAAGGCTATAAATATATAATCAGTATTTATCACAGCCGATTGTATCAATATTTTCTTATCATATAGGAGGGGCGGGGGAAACCATTTACAATTCTCAATTCTCATTTTACATAATTTTTTTATTCAAATTTAAGTGATCTTCATTTTAGTATTAAAGTGATACCTATTATAGGTATTGGTGATAAAATAAATTCTACTTACTGGACAACGAAGGTGATGGGCCTTGGGAGTTACTAAACATTTTGGTGCTATATCCAGAATCATTACATGGTATATCATCGTGACGTCGAGCTGTCAGATAGTCCAATCGCCATCGTAAGTTTGGGTCCATGACCGTGGTATCAATAGCACATTCTGTTCGAAACCGGTTCTCCAACTCGCTGTCGTTGTCGCTCACTTCTTCAGCCACCTGCACAACACAAGTTTACATTTGGTCAGTGTTGCCGATAGTACGGTATTTGTCGGGGGATTACGGTAATTTCATACTCCGTACGGTCGGAGTACGGTCAACCAAAAATGGGTCAAATAGTACGGTAAATTCAAAAAAAAAAAATTAGCTTTTCATCATATTTGTTATAAATATTTTGTATTTGATTTTATTTTTGTATCAATTCTATATATTATATAATATTGAACTTCGAACCTGACCCAGACTTTTGATCGTGATATTATGTGAGCTGGACTAAGATGGTGCTCAGTTTCTCCCTAGTTAGAATTCCCATAGAATTCCATAGAATTCCCCATAAAAGAAAACAGAGTTTATCTAATAACCCCAAACCTTGGGTGAAACTATCATAATAATTAACTATAATTTTTGATTTTAAATATCATGTAATTTTTGTTTTTGAATTTTTTATCATGTTGTCTGTAATTCATAAGGGCTGGTTATTTTATTAATTTACATTTATTTTAACAACTACATAAAATCATCAATTAAAAATAAATTAATTCATCAAAATGTTTGAATAAAATAATAAATTGTTTAATATCTAAGTACGCGACCGCTGCAGGCAGAATAATGCAATATCCGACGGTAAACCACGGTATTCGTATTAAGATGATAATTAAAAATCACGGGGCCCTTTAACAAGCGCGGGGCCCTGGACAAATGTCCCATTTGTCCTCTCCTAGCGCCGGCACTGTCCATAACCCTGAACCCATTATAAGTTTTTACCTGAAGATTGTTAATTGTTATTTGTTATTAATTTTTAATAGGTTTTAATGGTTTTATAAATATTTGATAAGAATTTGATAAGAATTTGATAAGAATTCGGATAAGAAATTATAACTGATAACCATGCTGATAACCTAAAAAATCAATAAGTACGGTAATATTGTTCAAAGTACGGTAATTTTGTCATATTTTCCCCGCTGACTAGATAACAAACATTGGCAACGCTGCATTTGGTGCTACTTATGTTTCCATTATTACAAGTTCATAAGAAGTTTCCGGGCAACGAATATCGATTATATAATGTAGACACTGTTAAATTGTCATTTATTGAAAATTTAAGGTTCTTTTTCATTTAACTTAAAATACGAGTATAACAGACTATTATTATTTCAACCTAACCATAAAATAAAGCATAAACCAGTTTATTTAAAATATAGATGCGTATTACGTTTTTTTTTCTTCAGAATTTAAGATAAGTATTAAGTGCTTACCTATATACCTAATTGATAAAAAATTAATTTATATTTAATCGTTATAATATAGTTAAATATATACATACGATTACATGATAATTTATGATATTACATCTGATTCCAAAATAGAAGAAAACAAATATCTCTTACCTACTTCAAATAAATATATTAAAGTAGTATTAATTTAGTTTTAATATATAGTAGTATTAATCATACTATAATATATGATTATATGCTCATTTCTTACAATTTATAATTTTTAATATCATGTGTAGTGTAGGATGTATACAAATAATTAAATTCATTTCTAATTAATTTGACTAGGCATCTATCATATAAAACTATGACCGACTAAGATACAACTCAAAATTTGTATTTTCAATTTATATGGCAAATAAATAAGAACTGCTGATTATTCTTAAGAGGATGTCAGCGCACTATGTTTCACACGGGTCAGAGAGAGAAAACAAAATAATACCTAGTGCGCTGATATCCTCTTAATATTATATTATAATTTGTAGCCCATTTTGTAGGTAATATTTATGATTTATCCTTGATTTTTTTTTTTAAACTTCTAATATAAAAACAATGTATTTATTGTACTTGGTAAAATAAATAAAATTATTATTTCTTGTTTACCTCTTGAAGCTTTTCATTTGATCGCTTCAGCTGTTTCTCAACGGAACACAATCTCCTATTAATATTATCTTCGGTACGACAAATCTGCCGTTTTAATTTTTTCGTATTGTGGTCCAATCGAGCTTCTAATTCCTTGAAAAAGGGCGCACAATAACATGTGTACCCTACTCCTACTGGTCCTTTTCTAATGTTTCCAGCCAAGTCTAGATAATATTGTTCACCTGCATGTAAGGGTTCTTCAGGCAATGAGTTCAACTTTGGTTTCGGGAACTCCTTGGTATCCGGAAAATAATGGCAACCGTAGGGGGACCATTGTTTTTTAATATTCTTATCGGTTCGTTTTTTACTCTAAAATCATTATTATTATAAAATTAATTATATTTGTTTTGATTATTTAATTATAAATGCACACACATCCTTTGAATCTTTTTTCGTTTTTGAACTGCTACCTTTCTTTTTGTACATGGGATTCTTTAAAATTTCTAAAATATCAGTCAAATTTTTACGTTCTGCTATATCTCTGGCAGTTTCATTTTGCTGAAATAAATTAAAACAATTTTAGGTTTAACAGTGTAAATAAAAATAATATTAATTTTGTTAATGCCTTTTCCACATAATTGTAACGTATAATTGATTAATTAGGTCATTAGAATTAAGTGTTTCAAAAAAATATGTATAAATGATATACCTACATTGAATATATTTTAAACATTTTGTGGTATAGATACAGTTAAATAGTAATAGTATGCGATTCACTGTGCGATTTGGTACTTAAATAATGTCATTAAATAATTATTTAATGTTTCGCTTGAATAGACAAAATAAATAAAATATTAAGCACACAGTAAAAAATTACCTTATTTTTTAATGCAATATTACATTTAGCTTGCAAAATTATTTTAGTTAATTTCTTCCTGGCCATAGCTGCGGCAATATGTAGTACCGTATCACCATTCTGTTTCACATTAAAAACAATTTATATTAGTTTTTTGGTTTAAAGTTTATTACGATATCAAACGTGCATGTGTTTGTTAAAAATATCTTTGTACTAACTTTATTTTGTTCGGAAACTTTACACTGAGCACTTATTAATATTCTCAGTACTCCAGCGTGTCCATACCTGGCGCTTGTGTGAAGTGGCGTATCACCATACTGAAACATTGAAAAGTAACAATAAATATTTAGATAGTTACTATAATTTATAAATTCCACTTTTTACACTTTTATAGTTATATAAATTTAGATCTGGGTTTATGTATTATATATTTATATTACTACAAATATACTTAGTATAGTATGATTACTTCAAATTTAGATTTTAATCGAAAAACAACTTTAACTATCCTTTTAAGAAACATAAAGAATATTGTACACTGTACAGATACGGTTCAAAAGTACCTTACACATTATGTCAACAAAATCACACCCAGCGTTCAGAATTAACACAAGCGTGTCTAAACTCATTTAACCGTTTGTTTTATAATCTGCGAAACAAAAACATTCATTACGGTTATCAAAGCGTTTATAATGGTTGAGACTATACTCTGACGGGATAAGCGAAAATAGATGACATTAACCGAAATACTGGAACCAATAATTGAGTTCCTGTTGAATTTGTTCCAGAAAATTGAAGTAGGTACTTACACTAGGTACCTATATACGTATTTTTGCAGGTAGCACAGTAATTGTGTACGTTTATCAGTGATTTGGTAAAAGTGTATTGTTTGTTTTATGAATTTAATCAAAAGATATTGTTCTACATTTGTGAGGTAAAAAATAATTACCCGTACTGTGATCATTTACAGTATGTTATGCAGAACAAGCTCAAAAGGGAAATGTAAAAAGAAAACGATTGAAATAATAAGACATATTGACTAGAAGAACCGGTACAAGTCATGAAGTAATTCTATTCCCGTTCATAGTACCTATTATATAAAATATTAATAAAACGCATTAAATCACGATCGTACCAATATATAGGCGTATATTAATCTATACGTCCACTAACTGCAGCCGTACCTAACCCGCTTACCCGTGGTGAGCACTGAGCAGTGAGCACATCATCTCTATAAAGATGGCCGTTGTTGCAAAACAATAAAACATGCACGGTTCCTACTTATATCACACAACTACACAAGGCACGCAAAGCCACAAACCATCATGCAACTAAATCTAATCTATAAAAGCACACGTGTATAGAAATAATATAGAAAAAAAACGATTTTTACAACTTGATATATTATAAACAGTGCAATATTGTTCAGCTGCAGGGTATGTATATCTGGTTTTTATTTTTCAATATATTAATAAGTCAAAGCCCATCTATTTTGAACGAGTATAATGATTAGGTTTTATAATAATAAATATTATTTATTCTGCTTACGTTATTTTGGACATCCGGATCACATCCGGTGAGTAGGAGTTCCCGACAGCTTTGGTTGTGTCCGTTCTGGCAGCACAAATGCAATGCAGACGATCCGCCATAATTCTTGCGGTCCAAGTCACTGCCGGAAGATGCGAGCAACGCCACTGTTTTGCTGTAACCTTTCCAGCTAGCCTCGTGCAGGGCCGTATTGCCATGCTATATTATAAATACAAACAACCAGCGTCATTATAACAAAATATATGATCTATTTATTATCATACGTACAATAATATAGAATATATTATACGTAACAAGTATCAACATATATAATATTCAAGAATGTTATAAATTATTAATGAGTGGTACGTGATTGGATTCTGAAAATAACTTTAAGTATGTACCCACATTTAAAACAAAACAAAACAAAATTCGTTGGAAATCGATTTTACATTGTCCAAGAAAATTGTGTTTATTTACAGCTATAGTTATATTATATTTTAATATTTTATTTATATTTTTAATGCCGTGGGGCTTTATTATTTAAATGACCCAAAGGTCTTTATAAATATAATAATATTATAATAAATTATCATAAATTTAGTGACTGAAACGTCCTAAGACATATAATATACAGGGCACTGGCCGTGTATGTATACGTAGACTACGTTGTTAAGATTGAAAACTTGACTTAAGGAATAAGGGTGCAGTGCTTACACTTATCCCCCCTCCAAAAAAATAGTCTTTTAAGTCATATATTCCACCAGTTATTTATTGCACAGCTTGTATATTACACGAGTGAGTGTAACACCCCCATAATTCTCAATTAAGATCTATCAAGCGTGCGCAAGCATTTGTGTATGAGCTCAGTAGTTTTTAATTAATACATAATATCCTACTGTATCTGCTATATCCTGTCATTAATAATTAATTACCGTAATATACTAATGTCACGTTATAGCATAGAAATATATCGTGCAAGCGTTGTATCGCCGAACCTATCAATATAAACCCTGCGAACGTAACACGCAAAAGTTAAGTTAAGTCATAGGCGTGTCTAAGGTGGCAGCCTAGGGTGCCTGGGCTGCCCCTTCAATTTTTGAAAGGTGCCGGTGAACCGAGTTTTAAATCAGAAGGGTCACAATATTTATTTTTTTTTAAACTTGATTTTTTTGCGTGTATCGTTATAATTACCATTTATTTACAAAGATATGTTCAACAAAATTAGGTAGATAATTTCTTTATTTAACATGTATTGTCAAATTGATTTCCTCACTTCGGAAAGAAAACCCTACTATAAAGACTTGAGACAGACGGCGATGCGGGACGGTACGGTACGCATCTAGGTATTATTGATATTATTCTTGTATTATGTTTGATTTGTAGCTAGGTGGTGTGATCCAAGGCTGTAGATAAATAGGTTTTTACCATTTTTTTCGGAAAAATTGTGAAAATTTGGTATCATTTAAAACCTCGTTTTTTTTTACTTAGATTATTTTAATTTTTAAGAGTAGATAAAATTTTTTAATTTTCCAAAATTTTCCGGAATTTTCATCCCTATGGATGAATAATATTTCTGAAGTTACTGTAGATTATTATTGTAAATATAGATAATTTAGACTTTTTTTTAAATTATATAAATATTTCATTGTGGAGAGGGGGGGGCTTAAAAAATACGGATTTGGGTGTATATTGCTTTTTCGGTTCACTAATATAAGGTAGCGTCGATCATTAGCTAGGCTGCCCCTGCCTATGAGCTAAGTTTGCTTCCCCTGCAGCACCCCCCGCTCGCACTAATAGCTCGACTTAAGCTCACCAGGTTGTCGTGCAGGTTAACGTTGGCGTCGTGTCGCAACAGCAGCTGCAGCACGTCCAGGTGACCTTCGGCCGCGGCGATTTGCACTGCCGAATAACCGACCGCATCCTGGGCGTTGGCGTCCACGGACCCCGCGGCCAATAGTTCGGCGACCGAGCCACTGTCGCCCGTCGAAGCGGCGTAGTGCAGTGCCGTCCGGCCATCTTCTAGCATCGGTTTCTCAACCGGGTTCAGATCCACCATTCCAAGGTTTTGGCATTATCTGTAGGAAAACGGAACACGGTGTAATTATTACTTGGTGTTTTTTCCCTTCAAATATGAGTTTATGCAAACATTTTAAAATACATTTTTGTAGAGGGATTTATTTCAGGATAGGTTTGCCCGTATATAAATGGTTTTTACGTGGTGATTAAAAGACACTCAGTTCATCACTGTGTATATTAGGTATAATATTATAAATGATAAGTTATAAACTTCCTATAGGTATGCAGGGCTATAATATAATATTATATATTATAGATTATATTATTTTGATACTGCGCTGTGCACTTATTAACTATTATACCAAACAATTTAATTCACATTAATAAATTAAGAATTAATAAACTAATATATATATACATATTAATGATTTAATAACCTACTTAAATTCTGTTTTGTATTTATAGATATAGGTGATATAGATATAGGTGTGTTTTATTTTATAGAATGGTTTTCAAAATTGAAAATAATAACTTTAAATTAAAATTTAAGAATTCATAAAAGCAGAACAAATATACTTTTGCTTTATACATAAATACATCTCTCGTATACACGAGGGGTACAAATTTGAGCTAAGTACCTACGTTCGGCCAGCCGCTAGAGAATATCCTAGTAAGTTACATTTAAAGTTATCGTGGTTACATTCCGTTACAGAACTGTTACAAAATATTGAGAAAGTTTCATACAAGAATTCCGAACTTGGGGTGCTGACCTAACGTAGCTGAAAATGTGATATAATATAGGTAATAATATTTATATTATAACAATACCTATATAGTATGGTCAGATACGAAGGTTTCCAACTATCGTGTCAATATAAAATACAGAATATGTCATATTATGCACGAGAGTGATGTATTAAAATAGATATTTTATAATAGAATGGTTAGGTTTATGTAGGTATGGATTACTTACTAAGCACATTGTGAGTAGGAATATTCGACGGTTCAATGGAACACTCGGTATAATTTTAGTAGAAAGAGCATTAGTATATAAGAAGTGGGTCCCGGTGTATAAGGGGGCGGTAACCTACAAGTTGATGAGTGAAAGCCATCACGAGTGTGTGTATATGACATGAATGTTGATTGCTATATGACAAAGATGTTTATTTTTAATTTTAATAATATTTACTCGATATAATTAATTTAAATATTAATGAATAAACTTTAATTATTTTAAAGACAATATTATTATGATACTAATCAATATTATATTATTATGACATGCATAAATTAGTAATAAGTACCTAATACTTAATAGTATCGCTATATAGGTAGTAATAAATTATTATTTTTGTCTGGTAATATTGTAATAATGCTTAATATTAATATTATGGTTTAAAAAATTCTATTGAGCATTGCTTATATACGTACTTCTTAGTTATTAGTAACCAGTGCGTCCAATAGCAAACCTGTGTTAAGGGCATATCCCCCGTGGGCTCGTATTATACATTTTTTAATTATAAATGTTATGTGGTACCATCGATTATAGATAAATACTAAATACTACAAGTATTTATAATCAAAGGTGGTAGGTATATAATATATTGAAGACAATTTGTTTTTATAATTTAAAAAAAAATGTTTACGTTATATAACTATTATGATAGTTTTTAAGTTTTAAAAACTATACTATTAACTAAGGCTATGTGCTTCCTGTCAAATTGATATTTTTCATATTTTTTTTTCATAGTAAAAATATGCATTTATTGACTTGTTTAGTCATTTATAATATTGTATATTAGTCAATTAATTTACTATTTGCTTTTATTTATGCTCGTATGCTGTAGATTTAAATCTAATATTCTAATAGGCACATTAGTTTTGTATAACCATTTTTAATGAATATTCTTCTTAGTATGAACATTTTAATAATTTTAAAACTACTCGTTCGGATTTTGAATTACCTAGGTACATCAACATTTTCAAAAAAATGATCCACTAAATAATTTACAGTAGAAATGAAAGGTTCTCATTTGAAAACCAGAAGTTTGTTTGTCCACAAGACACTGCTTAAGTAATACAAAAAGTTTCAATTGCCGTTAAATATATTTAAAAATTCCAAAAATCATAATTTATTATTAAAGGAAAAATGTAGATGAGCTTGGTGAATCATTCAACCACTACCAACCAGGCAGTATTAAGCCTGCACTGTTAATAGTTATAGACAATGTAGAAATCTGAAATTTAGTACATCAATGATGAACTATATATGCTATCTGTATTTAAATAAAGTATGTACAATATGATGTAGCTAACTATAAATGATTATAAATCCCTATAGGTACTTGCGAAATCGAGTAATAATTTATAAGTTTAAGAACATTTAAAAGCTTATTTTAGATTTTGATTCAAGCAAAAGTATATCTGTATATATTATGGTGTAAGGTTTAACTGTAAAAATTAACAGAGTTTCAGACGTTACTATTCCTCAGTATGATAAGACTTTTGACTAATTACATAGTACATATTTTGTAAACTATGTATTCTTTGCACCCGGGTGACCATTTCCCTTACTGATGAATGACTGAAAATATCGCATTTGTACGCACCACTATTGTTTAATTCTTTACTTTTACTTTATTTGAACTAGCCTTGGGAACAGATGTATGTTATATATATAGGACATAGGTTATAGACGTTATAGTCATTGGGTACCTAATTCGTTTCGTATTCAATTAGTAACCATGCAGTAAGTACCTAAGTATTTTCTACACTGTATACTAGACACTAGTATATACCTACAGTCATTAAATATATTTATACTCCAGTGCAGACTGACGAGGATTATTATATTAGGTATATTATGTAGGTACCTATCGTACATATTATTTATCCTTGCCGTGAATTTATTTATTTATGTACAATCAACTATTTAGATAGGTCTTATGGTTTAATTTTACCATGTTGATTATGATTAAATTTCTCTTTGTTTATTACATATATAAGTATATTTTATGTATAGTCATATAGACATTCACGCACATTCTATATTTATAACTTCTCAATACAAAAAAAAATTAACCTACGAAAATTTAATATTCATGAATTTTAATTGTGATTTGTCCATAGATAAAATTACGTACCTTCCTATAAAACAACAACAAGATCTTTAATAAGGTATATGCTAAAAATATGTAATATCACTAATATGTCTATACTCTATATAGTTACTATTAATTCAAACAATACTTTACATTCAGTATTATCAATAAGAGAAAGAACTTAAATAAGTCATTACACAATTTATATGAATTTAAATTTCTAGTAAAATGAGAATGTTTTTTCTCAAATTGATATAAATAATTATATAAATATTAATAAATAATAACACTTAATTTTATGTGTAATATATAGTATATGAATACATAATAGGTATGCAGTGAAAAACGATATCTATACTGAAGTGTATAAAATATTAATTCTTTTAAACATTTTCTAATTATATGTTGGATTTACATTTCTATAATATTCTCTTTTTCATTTTAATTTTTCATAAATTATATTAAGTACCCATTGTATAATATTGTTACTAAATACTAATGTCGATTTTTGCTTCAACTCAATAAAACAACAATGGATATATGTGGGTTTGTGTGGCGCGGTCAGTACTCTCAACTGCGGAAATGCTCTAAGAGTACGTATCGACCAGTGTTGCTAGCTCCCGGATGGGTGACCACCCGTGATTTTTAGCTACAAGTCCTTGCCACACTTACAAACGTGTTTCAACCAACCATTCCTCCATCCATAAACAAAAACAAACAGCTAATGGCCATAGTTGCCGGGCTTAAACTCAAAAACAAAAAATAATGGAATTTAGCCATATAGGTACTTTAAATCATATAAAATATTGTTTTTAGTTTCATGCTATTTATTGTAGTTAAAAAAAAAGATATATTTTGTTCTTCCAGGTTTTACATCATATATCTACAGTGTACGCTAATTAACATAATCAAAACATTTGTACGTATTTTTTTTCTCGAGAAACCGCCACATCTCAATATCTCATGTTATATACCTACTCTCATTTCAAACTCGTGACTCGTGAAGCATAATGTTATATCGCGTTTCCTGTTGGGAAATCCATCTGGAACGAACACACTTACCGAACTTGAACAATTTCTTTTGAATTGAATTGTTCTAATAACCAAACCAAATCATTTTACTATACAATATAGGTATGTATAGGTATAAAAATAAACCGATAAATGCGACTTGCGCGAGCATTTTGATTATACCTTACAGATGGCTATCTTTAGATAGGCATCACTTATATGCATGTTCGAAATTATATTTATTCTTCATTCTATTATATTGACGTGTGTAGACAATAATACTTTTTTACGGTTCTTAGCAGAATCGAAATATCCATCATGGGTGGACGTCTAATATTTTTATATTGTATTGTATATACTTAGGTACTATATGTACGTATGTACTTATACGCGCACGGTTGATGTAGCGTGACAAATTGTAGATGGCATTCATGTCCGCTCGTTGTTTGTACATTTTATTCTTTCTGTGTATCCAGGGCACATGGTGTATTTTTAAATTACATAACGGATATGCAGATGATGTGTACCTATTCGTAGGATCGTAGGTAGGTATAATAATTGTGTGTAAAATATAATGAGAAAAAAATCACACAATGATTTTCTGTGCAAATAGTGGATGCGACGTGCGTTCTCCTGCACTCGTTTGTTGTTTTTATTTTTTTTAAGAGGTAAAAAAATTGTACCTACGTAGGTACAACGTACAACTACCAAATATTTACTATCGGGAAAAAAAATTAATCGAATTTACGATAGATTAACGCTAGTGACTGGCAAATTCGATTAGTTTGTTTAAAAGAAGGACGTGATCAATAATAAATTTGGACACGCATATATATATATTAACGTTATTACCACAGCTAACGCGCACGTTTTTATAGATAGGTATTATAATATTATGTGGGTACCTATAGGCTATAATTCTATATAG